ATGGAAGGATGGACAAGCTGAGACCGCCAGGGCGTGCTATGGCAAGGCATCAGGAAGCCAACAGTCATCGTAGATGGTGCAGGCGCGAGAAATTCGGAAGGTGGCTGGCTGAGATAGTATTTGGTGTGTTGGTTGCGGAGATAGGTCATAACTGTAAGTGGGGCGGTTTGGTGCGATGTTGTCGTTACAATCGCGATACTGATGTTGACGATGAACAGAAGGGCAAGAAGAAAACGCTTGGCTGTGAATTGTGAAGACCGCGGAATGGCTAGGGAGACACCAGGAAGAAAAAACGTCGTGAAGGGTACCGCAGCGAGTATGTGAAGAAGAGGGAGGAGAGGGTAGACGAATCTGACTTCCTTATGAGGAATGAATGACAGTACACACGGAACCAGGATCGCTGTCGTGGCGAGTTGATATTTGATGGTTTTCGTAGAAGTGGAGTCGTTGAGGTATTGGGGAGGATGATCGGGAGGGAAGAGGGATTGCCAGATGCCGATCAAGCCGAATGGAAGGAAAGTCGTCAAAAGCAGTGGGTATCCTTGCGATAGGTAATAGTGCCAGTCGTTTCTGCCGTAGAATACTGCGAGGGTTTGTGCGATATTGAAATAGAGGAACCGAAAGGGGGGAAATGTCCATTGTTCGTAGTAGAGACGGTCAACAAGTGTGGAAAGCATCAACATTAAAGACCTGGAGAGTTGGTAAGCCACGCTAGGTTGACTACGACGAGAAACTTACCCGCAAAGACAGGCCTCTGTCAGTAAGACCATGCGCTCCTGCTTAGTAGCAGGGAGAAAAGACAGAGAGGAGATGTGGACCCATATCTGCGTACCCTCCCAAGGTAACGACAGCATTTTTCCATGCGTCGTGATACGCAATAGCGCGAAGGTAGCAAAGCATATCCAAATCAGAATGTTGGTTGGTCGTAGTATACAAGCCAAAGCAGCAAGCAACAGACAGCGACGAAGTCTATTTTTCGAGTCAGGATTTTGCTTGCGATCCCAGAAATCGGTCACCAACTTTGCCTTCTCGTCAACATCGCTTTGCTTCTCGTTTATGCGCAGACCGTCATTATCAATCTCATCGTCTTCTTCTGCGTCCATCGACCACTGCCAAGGCCAGAAATTCAGCGCAACAACCGTCATGGTTGTTTCGAGGCAATTGGAAAGCGTGCGCGTCGAGCAGAACCATTGCCATGGACTGCAAACCGTGAGGGCGAGCTATAGAATCAGAGACCCTAGCAATCAGCTGACGCTCTGACTCGTCCAAAGTGGATATCATTGGCGCTACATACAGCCGCCCATGCTTCATTACTGCCTGATCCGTAGACACATTCCCCAAGTTTCCACGTGTAGTAATCCCCCAGCGCAGCGAAGATGGCCTGGGTTACTTTTGGCGCGGCTACTAGAAGGTCGGCGCGGTATGTGGGAGACAGATGCAGGACCCAGGAGAGGCCTGACGACAGCCTATACACGGCGGCAAAGATTGCAGGATGAATCGCAGAACGAAGGTGATGCCTCCACTCCTGCGCCGGCCCTTAGCAATCGTCATTCATGGCTTGTTTGTTTGTTTGCTTACCCAGGTGATCCATGCTCCGCTCTCAGCTCCAAACGCTATCTCCCATGCCGGCTCGAGCGATTGGAAAAATTCGTCAGGTTGAAAGAAGGTCTTGATACTCAACGCGTTAAGAATCCTGAATGCGAGCAGAAATAACAATATGTCTTGCGAAACGGACACCTCTTTGACTCGTTCTAAGACGTGTCTCCGGAAACTCTTGTTGTCATCGAGGTAGATGGAATTATCGAGGCCAAACTTGGTTGAGGCCTGCGGTATGGGTGTCGTCTGGGGCGATGACATTGCCTCGCATTTGCCTTGGGCGAATGCTCATGCCCAGGGTAATGAAGTTTGGGGAACACGGCGCAAAAGAGGACTCGCGGGACAACTGAGGTACTTGCCAAGCCAACAGGGCTGGGCTGATGGTGGCCGTCGGAGATAAGGTAATCCCCGCGAGCCCTATGAGAATGAGCCCTACGAACCCCACGAGCCCCACCAAAAGACCGAGAGGCCGTCGCCTACATGCAGCCTCTACTCCTCTAAAAGCAGGTACACACGAATCTGTTGAAAACTTACAAGAAAACCCCTACATTTACGGCTTATGACCCATTGAAAGGCCACCAATTGCACTCAAAGGCCTCCTACACGAAAAACTCTTCTCTCCACCCCCCACCCTGCTAGAAAGCCACATCTTTCGCCCCTTGGTACTCCTCTCTGCTTCCAAGTACAAAAACATTCCTCCATTTTCAGTGTTTTGTCGTTTGGAAACCCAACGAGACCCAAAAGCAATCCATTCACGCCCAACATGGCACCAGCGGCTTCTCTTCACACGAATAACCATGCAGATGGCAACATTAATAGTACCACATTGAAAGCAACCGCGCCCTCATTCCACCCAACAGGAACCCCAGATCCATCCAAATATCACGCTGCCTCGACGAACGAAGCCATTAGCAGTGAACACACCCACGCGGCCCATAACTACCATCCGCTTCCCATCGTCTTCTCCAGAGCTGCAGGCTGTTCTGTTTGGGATCCTGAGGGCAACGAGTATGTGTGATCTTCCTAGCCGACTTCCCTATTCGGTACCAGACTTCGACTGGCGAGACATTTTTCAAATGCAAAAGCTCCTCTTACTTCCCCGATTTGTCTTTTGAACCAAGTGTTTGGCCCAAAGGAGTCACGCTGACTCTAAGATGCGTAGGTATCTCGACTTTCTCTCGGCTTATGGCGCTGTCAATCAAGGCCACTGCCATCCAGAATTGGTCAAAGCCTTGATTGAACAAGCATCAAGGCTGACACTGAGCTCGCGAGCCTTCTATAACGATGTCTTCCCTAAATTTGCAGAATTTGTTACCAAATTCTTCGGATTTGATATGGTCCTGCCAATGAACACTGGGGCCGAAGCGGTCGAGACAGCCGTAAAGATCGCAAGGAAATGGGGCTACAAGACGAAAGGCATCCCACCAAATGAAGCATTGGTCTTGAGTGTAACGGAGAACTTCCATGGCAGGACAGTAAGCGATCTTTTTAATCATGTGAATCGATTCTGGGTGCTCATAGACCTCTTTTAGTTCTCCGCAATCTCCATGTCCACTGATTCTGAATCTCGAGACAATTATGGCCCTTTCGTGCCGAATCTTGGCTCTCATTGTCCTAAGACAGGGAAGGATCTTCACTATAACGACATTGATGGACTCAAGTCTGCATTTTTGGCACATGGGCACAAAATCGCAGGCTTCCTGGTCGAGCCTATCCAAGGCGAAGCAGGGATCGTTGTGCCTGCCGATAACTATCTCAAGGACATTCGAGACCTCTGTGACAAACACAACGTACTCATGATCTGTGATGAGATTCAGAGTGGTATTGCAAGGACTGGCAAGCTGTTATGCCATGAGTGGAGCGGTATCAAGCCTGACTTGGTGCTTCTGGGCAAGGCAATCTCCGGGGGCATGTACCCAGTGTCGTGTGTCCTGGGCTCGAAAGACATCATGCTGACGATCGAGCCTGGCACTCATGGGTCAACGTACGGTGGAAATCCACTTGGTTGTGCTGTCGCTATTCGAGCTCTGGAAATAGTCAGAGATGAGGATATGGTCAACCGTGCCCAAGAACTGGGCGAGCTATTCCGCAATGGGATTGAGAAACTCAACAATCCAATGATAAAGACGGTCCGAGGCAAAGGTCTTTTCAATGCCGTAGTCATCGACGAGACGAAGACAGGAGGCCATAGTGCCTGGGATCTGTGTATGCTGATGAAGGAGAAGGGCTTATTGGTGGGCAGAGCTCTGAGGATTGCCCATGTGAAGAATAGTGGAGATGCTGATGATTCGAAGGCGAAACCGACACATCAGAATATCATTCGCCTCACGCCTCCGCTTGTCATCACTGAACAGGAAATTCAGAAAGCCTTGAAGATCATGGATGACGCAATGAAGGAGCTTCCGTCTCTGAAGGGAAAGGAGGAGGACAAGGTGATTCCTGAGCCAGAGAAAAATGTCAAGATCATGGTCGATAATTAATCATATGAGGCTGGAATCGAACAGAAAATGCCTCATTGCCGTGGGATATTATTGCATTTCGAAATCGTATTATTCTACATGGACATCAGTTGGGGGAAAACTGTGCATTTGCTTGAGAGTTCATCGGGAGCGGAGCAGCATTTGGTCTTGATGATACCAGATAGTTAGAGCACCAAGAAAATGAGTACTTTAGTAATGTAGCTGATCTTACCAAGCTCGGCAGACGCGTCGAATGTAACTCATTCGGGCTTAGCGCGTCATTAGCGTCTTGAAGATGAAAATAAAATCACAATCTGCTTTCAATTTCTTTTCCTTCCGCATCAAAAAAGCAACGGAACCAGCCACGACCATTGTTTAGCCGAAATGGATTCTACAGCAATGTGTTGCCATGTGACATCGCGTTACAGTGGTTCCGGAGATCAAGTTCAAAGCCCGGATAAATAGGAAGTTTCCTTCTCGATGAGTCTTTTTAGTTAAGGGCGATGGGATGGGAATGTCGATAGATGGGCTACATGCTTTCAGTCTGGGTGTTTAGTTCGCGTTCTCAGTTGTCAGTTGTTCAGTCTTGTGTCGACTCATTAGATGCGTTCAATGCCAAGTACTACAGGAAAGATGGCGTGTCTGCTGCATCACGCGTTCGTTCGTGCTTTTAATATAAATTCGATCGCTTGCGGCCTGGCTCGGGAATGAATACGGCTAACTTTTCTTTCAACATCATCTAAAACTGGCAATCTCTCATTCCTGCAGTTTGTTGTGATGTTTTCGTGCCTGGCATTCCTCGCTTGGGATCTCCAAGATATGCAATTAACAGCACGTCTCCCAGCCATCACTTATAACTCGACTGCCGTTTCGAGTCTTCAACTTTGCTCCCCCACGCTCTTGACCCTGCATCTGTTCGTCTTTGCTGCAAAACCATTTAGCTTTCCTACAGTCGCTCTTTTTCGCATCGAAACTCTATCCCATCCAAGTTCCATCCAAAGCCATCAGCCCGTTCAATCGCATCATCATAACCCCCTCGACCAATAATCCGTTGGCCCGATAATCGCCATGAAGCAGACAGCTATCGCCGCCGCCTTTCTGGCAGCCGGTGCCACGGCGCAGAACTCGACGTCAACAAGGACTGAATATTATAACACTTGCTCGATCTCCTCCGGGGGTATCGTAACGGCCGCCGTCACAGAAACCTACTGTCCGCCATGCGAGGCGGCGGGTATGACGACTTTTGCCGGTGGATCTCTCACGACGTACACGACTAAATTCCTCCAGGTTTGCCCCACCGGTCTTGCGGAGGCAACCTACACTGTCACCGAACCCTGCCCAAGCACCGGTCTTGCACGAGGATCTGGCTATGTTCCACAAGGATTCACTGTAACGACTGTGCCATGCTCTGTCTGCGAAGCAGGCAAGTCACAGTATGCGCAGACCACGCCCGGCCCCGCTCTCGCTTCCGCTCTCGCTGCTCCAGCACCGGCCCCCACAGTCCCAACTGCGCTAGCCAAACCCGGAAGTGCCGCACCACCTGCTGCTGCTGGCGCCCCTGCCGCTGGTGCCCCTGCTGCTCCTGCCGCTGCCGGTGCCGCATCGCCCGCCAACGCTGAAAATGCTGCCGTAGCTCCTGGTGCTGCAGCTCCCGCCGAGAGTGGCGCTGCATCTCCCGCCGAGAGTGGTGCTGCATCTCCTGCCGAGAGTGGTGCTGCCTCTCCCGCCGAGAATGGCGCTGCAGCTCCCGCCGAGAGTGGCGCTGCAGCTCCCGCCGAGAGTGGCGCTGCATCTCCCGCCGAGAGTGGTGCTGCATCTCCTGCCGAGAATGGCGCTGCATCTCCCGCCGAGAATGGCGCCGCAGCTCCGGCTGGATCGTCTGCCGGAGCCCCTGCATCTTACCCACTTCCATCTCAGGCTGGCCAGGTCGCCCTTGCGAGTGGCGCCCCAGCCTCCAACGGTAACAGCACTGTTCCCTTCAAGGGTGCTGCGAGCCTAGTTTCGGCGATCGAGATCTCATCCTTCATAACTGTACTGGTGACTCTCATTACTGGATTCGCTTTTGTACTATGATCAACAACACCAAGAAGGATCAATAGCTACGCTTCGTTTTTGGTTTAGGTATGCTCCTTTAAAGTGTTCATTTTACCTGGCATGTGTTAACCTCTTTACCCTAGGCGTTGATTGGATGCGTCACTGTTGTATTCGATTAAGGTATTTGTTACCATTGTGGAAGCTGGACTGAAGGACTTTATTTACGTGGGATGATACTCTGATGTTACAATAATTATCAATACTATTATCTTCACCCCTTCTCATCTTGACCGATCTGTGGTCTATGCTCATCAAATCTGATCACAACTTCCAGTGCTTTGTTGTCCCTTTGTCACTACATGGTGACTCAACCAAGATCTTGTGCGTCCCATGATGTAATCTTTGTTCTTTATCCAGCAAGTCATTGTTCATAGATTGTTGGTAACAACACCTCTTTGTTGCTTTTTAAGCCACATTGCTCTTCAACCCTTCACCAACCCTTCAACAACCCAACCACCTTGCGCTGCAATCATATCATCGTTGATATACTCACACAGGCAGTATCAATTCGCAGTACATCATCATGGCGCCCGGCGCGTCCTCCATCAACGACGGATTCCAAGAATTCTATGCGCCACGTACCACAGAGCCCTCTTCAACATACCAACAACAGTCGATGCCGCCGGCCGAGCATCAAAAACCCCAAAGGTCGATCGGACTCCACAACTCCCGAGGTCCCGTGGATCGTACCAAACCTGACGACGACGACCAAATACAAACAGGCTGTTTCAGGGAGATTAAGAACTACAAGGCTGGAGACGAGTTCCTTTTGCTATGGAAGTGGGTAGATGACTTCATGGACAAACGGCGAGCTAAGATCAAATCCAGCAAGTCACATAATGTCAACAGGTCAACTTCACGACAACCCAAGTCAACTCCCTCTTCATCACGCAAGGCCCGTCAAGTGCCCAGGCCAGCAGTTACCCCATCACCGGAAGCAGGGAGAAGACAGGCTACAGACAGAGAAGACACGCGTGAGTACATTGCTCAACGTCATACGCCGTGGGGCGAGCTCATTTATTTGTACCAAAATTGGAAGGACCAACAAGCTAAGAAGAAAGCAGATCAAGCAAGACAGAAAAGGGGCGAGGAGATCGCCAGGAGCCAGGCCACCGTGAGAAGGGACGAGTCACCTCGCGGTCGCTCAACAAACCGACGTGAGCCTCGTCGAAATGCCCCGTCGCCACCAGATCAAGATCATGCAGCCGACTCCCAGCCAGGCATAGCAAGGAAGCCAATTCCTATCTACAACAAGAAGAGAGGAGAGGTTCAAAAGCACGCCGTCAAGATCGCTCAGCTACCTCCAGTACATAACAGCGTTCATCTTCAGCACACCCCGTCGAACAACTATCGCGCCACACCTTCGCCTGCTCGTGGCCAGAAGGACAAGTTCAATCGCAATACACATTTTTCCGACTTCCTTCACCAGGAGCATAACGCGCCGTCCGCTCTGTTGGGCGAAACGGAAGGGACCTACGCCGGACCAGGTGAAGACGCCGATTTGGTGCGCAACAGCCACTTCTCATCAATTCTCGATCCCGCCAAAGCGATCAAGAAAGCCAAAGAGGCCGAGAAAGCGAAAGGCCCCAAATGTTACATCTGCGGGACTGCGTCCACGAACAGCCCCGGAGGCTACCGCGACAATATTACAAACCTGTGGGTCTGCGTAGCTTGCCAGCAACAGGAAGACACTTGCCCCGTCCAATGCACCGTCTGCGGTGCAGATTCCCCTGATACCGGTTATGCGAGTAATGGGTTGTGGATGTGCAAAGCATGCCGAAGCCCGACAACGCCGAAGGAGCTGCCGCCGTCGCCAAAGTTTTCTCGCAAAGCCACATCAAAGCCGAAGCCGGCCTCAAGGCTCAACGACCATAGCTCTCATGCTTCGCTAGCCAGTCACGCTGTGCCCATCTCGGAGTACGACAGTGATCATCTCTACTCCGACGACTCGTACGAGACACGCGCGACCACGCCCCTATCCAAGAGGCCAATCGGACTCGGTATCACACTCCAAGACTCGGAAGAGGAGGAGGAGGAGGAATTCCGGCCCATACCCCCGCTCAAAGACAGCAAATACTACCAAGACTCCCCGACCCTCCCAGCCATGGACTACAACCGATCCTACCTCCGCAAACCGGGCACGAAACACCCGTACGCGCCCTCGTCGGCATCGACAGCACCAAGGACAGCCCCAGCCTCCTTCGCTCCCGACCTCCCCGGAGCCAAAACCTCCAAGAAACAGCGCCGTCAGCAAGACCGGTCCTTCAACCCGACCACTTACCCATACCCGTCTCCGCCCGGCACACCGACGCCGCTCCACAAGCCGAGGCCGGCCAGCAGCGTCTATCCGACCGACGAGCCCGCCATCGACTTCCCGTACCCGCCTCCCCCGATCCCTCAACAGTTTGCGCATCGGCCGAAGAGGTCCAGTTCCGTCAGTCCCGGAACGCGTTCGAAAGCGGCCTTGGCTCGTACGGAGCCGGCGAGTCCGAGATCGCAGTCGTCGCCCGTGAGCACGGAGGGTGGACGGACGGGACTCAATAGACGCTCCTCGTGGTATGATTTTTGGAAGCCGGTTTTTGAGAAGCCGGGGGAGGGAAGCCCTTGAGAAGGGAAGAGGTTGGGGTGAGTGAGATTGTTGGACATTGCCTACAAACTTAGCATTAATTTTAGCATTAATTTTAGCTGATGAAAACCATGAACACATTAAAGTCACTGCTTGCACATATTGAGACTCCAAGGACCATCTGAGACTCATATCTGATGTTTCCGAATTTAAGAAAGGTCATACCCACACTGGAACTCCAAACTCTTTCCCCCAATCTGCAGGTCCTCAACATGCTGTTCCTCGCAAGGATAGGCAAGACTCTACGAAACCCCCAGTGAAGGTATTTGACACCACAGCCGCGCCTGCGAAGGTGGGGAAAACCCTCTTGTTCCCACGTAAAATAGAGCAACTGCAAAGACAAATGGTACGAATCCTGAGAGTTGAACGACTTAGCACACTGAGCCGCGACCCATACTGTAAGCCAGTAAGCCAATCCACTGGTGAGCTCGGTTGATCCAGTCTCAGAGCCAGTCCCGCCTTGTGTCATAGTATTCTAAAGCACTCCTGATATTCTGTTTCAAGTATGAAGAGAGTCCCGAGTAGTAGAAGAAGGTGCTCGGAGTGTTCGATGACGATGGTGTCAGGATGGCGTCGTGATATTTCGCTGCCCATGAGGTCACCCCTCTTCCCTCAATCCTACAGCCAGGCGAAGCAACACTCAACCACAACGGGACCAATAGCGTCACCGCCGCTATCTGACCAAATGTCCACCGGCTGTCCGAGTCGTCATTTCCCGCGTTCTGAGCGATCTTCGTTGTTGGAAACTCCGCAATTCGAAGACAGGCCACGGTTGGCTCATCGCGATGGTGGGTACCGCAATGAAGAGGCATGATCGATAATCAACAGCCAGAGCTGTTCTTGGACTGCGGACTCGTTGACAAGCCGTTTTTTGGTGCCTTTGCAGCCTGTTTTAGTATGCGCCGAAGATAAAGACGATCCTAATAAATTGTCTCCTGATTCGACACTGCATTAGCACCTGCAGTACAAGCTGTCTCGATCACATTCCGCTCAGTTGTTGAAATGAGTTAACCTTATTTTGCACCTACCCCACTCGATCCAAAACTCTCCATCATCCTGCTCATGAACGGATAGATATACAGCAACGAACACAGTGCGAATAGGAGAAACCTCGATTGCTCTTTGCGGCTTTGCTGGCCCTGAGGAGTACTGGCGTGGTCCAGCTGCGGCTCACGAAGGAGGCCAGGATTGAACGCCACATACACAAGTGGGAGAATGGTCAACAAGGACACGGCCCAGGCAATCTTAGCGGTGCTATCTCCCATACCGCGGGCACTGATCCCGAAGTCGAGGCGGGTGAGTACGACGATGCAGGCGAGTTGGATGGAGAATGTGAAGAAGACGGCACAGTCGTAGAAAGAGCTGCAGCCCCATCCGCTACGGAAATGTACCGATCCAGCAAATAGGGGTGATCTGCATTCGTTCGTTGTTCGTTCTTAGGACGAAGAGGATGTATAGCAAGGATCATTGATCGAGGCATCATTGTAAAGGATGTACACTGAACGGACAGGTTGCGGCCAAAAAAGATGGAGGCTCAACGCCAAACCGAAGATAAAAGAGAAAGCCAGTGCTCGAAACTCCTAATGGCTCCTGCGACTGGAACGAAAGAGGTAAAAGTGAGCATCTCGAAAGGCAGTCTCCGTGGGATGGTCTGCAATCCATGTGTGGTATACAATGTTGCGTAGCGATGTCACGAATCTCGGAGTAAAAGGTTCTCTGACAAGCTCTGTCGTTAGGTGCTGAGGCGTTGCAGCATCGGTGGAAGATATTGGGAAACAAAGTCCATTGGAGGGTGCGTATTACTCGCACTGCTCCTCATGTCCTCTGCAGCCATTTCTGCGAAATCAGTTCGCTTGTGATTGCTCGAGCGTCCCGTCGAGGTTGGAAATCGAGGGAGAAGACATCGAAGTCTGTCTGCAAGCATAGGGAGCCTTGAAATACTTGATTTTCGCTGCAGCTGGCATAGAATGCATGGACGATACAGAAAGACTCTTATGCCCATCATCTCCAAGAAGCGTAAGGCGGCCTGCATTAGCCTGAATCATCAAGAGGTGTTCCCATTGGACGCACGTATGCAGGTGCTCGTTTTCAGTAGGCTTCGGCGATCCTGCAGCCTTGCACGCTTTACGACTCGGTTCATGATCCCTTCTTTCCTATCTTGCGAGAACAACTCTCAGACCTGAGTTTCAACCAGAATGCAATACTGGCTATAAAGCGGTATTGACGTCTCAATGCCATCCCCATTGCCTCTGCCACTTCCTTGAAAGTCCGATCTCACACTCATCACATTCCCAAAGCCTTTTATAGATCAGCCTTCCACCACTCAATTCACAAGAACCCCCATTTCCTCACCATGCGTCTCAACAAACTCATCCCGTGCTCATCATCGTGATCACCACCACTCTAGCCCGCGAGACAGGTGCCGCTGTGGCCTACTACGCACAGAGGATTTATTGCCGGCTTACGTGGCTATCGTGGGTACTCGTCAGTCTAGAGGATTCAGACTACATGAATATAGATGGTTCCCATTGGATGCACATATGCAGGTGGGCGTATTGGTAGGCCTCGTGCTGTGAACAGGGTAACGTCAGCCTTGTTTAATTGAAGAGAAGAGTTGGGGTAACAGAATACCATCGTAGTTCATGGGACGGACACACCTTCCGAAACGCCAAAAGCAGAGAGCTGCATTAGTCTAACTCGCGGTCCTCTTGAGCCGTCAACTCATCTCTCATCTCTCACTTCTCATTTAACATCCCTCACAACAGCTCCTCCTCACCTCCACCGCACTGCCTCAACCTCCCTCACTTGAACCATTCAGCCTCCATACATACCTAACCCACGTCCAACCACACCACACCACTCCCATCAAACAACGACAAACATCACCATGCGTCTCACCAAGCTCATCCCAATGACCATCATAATCACTTCCGCCCTCGCCGGCCCCGCCGCCTACGGTATCTGCCAAGCAGGATGTGCAGGCGTCGCCGTGGCTTGCTATGCAGCTGCTGGAGCAATCATGGGCGTGACAGCCGGAGCTGCTGCCCCTCCTGCAGTCCTAGCTTGCAATGCAGCCTTCGGATCTTGTCAAGCCGCTTGTGCTGCTGCTTTGGTCATGCCTACTCCTTAGGCATACCCTCCAGTATGACAAGGTATGGTTTTCTCTTTCATGAAGACATGCTTCATCCTATCTTGTCCATAGATCCCTTACTTCTTGGGCAGATGATCAGACCAGACAAAGTATGGCGTGTTATAGGCGGAGCCTTGTCTGATTTGTCCATGGACTCGGACGGTTGCGGGTGGTTTTGCTATTTTGTGGTATCGGTCGTGGCCAAATATGAGCTGGGGGGATTCAGCTGGTTAGGTCAGGAGGTAGGCGAATTTATAAAAGCTGGATGTGGCAGGTCGAGAGCACAGCAATTCAATCCATGCCTTTGAAGCTCATGACATGTTGCACACCACTTTGGGCTTTACCCTTATTTCGCTTCCTTTTCTTCTTCTTCTTCCCCTTGCGCTGCTCTTCCTCACTGCTCTCCACCGAATCAGCTCCGCGGTCATCCTCATCACTGTCAAACCCATTGGCCCTCTTGCCATTCCTAGCGCCCACTTCCTCGACTTCATCCTCTTCGTCCTCTCCATTATCCAATCCATAATTGTCGTCCCAAACCTTGACAATCTGTCCACCCCCACTAATCATCCTTCCCCCAATCTCAAACCCCAAACCCAATACCCCCTCCACCTCATCGTGTCTCACCTCCGTCTCATGTAGTACCTTCGGCTTTTTCCTGCCCATGTCCACAAATCTGACGCACCCATCATCCATTCCCACTGCCACCATTGGATTCTCCCCCATAGCGGCCAGCACATCAGCACTAGCCCCCTTCCCCACCACAGCAACGGTCTGTTCATTATCGTCCCACGACCCCACCTGCCATATCCGTAGGACTCCCTTCTCACTCCCAACCACCAGCTTCCCATCCACAATGCAAGAGCTCAGTATCTCCTCTCCCTGATCCTCGCTCTTAATCAACACTCCTTTTCGTATGTCCATTATCGCTATGGTACTGCCGCCTGTGGAAGCCCATTGTTTGCTGAGTCCGCTTCTGGAGTCTTCAGTTGGCGGTAGTGGTGTCATAGAGGAAACATAGTCGTCGTGTGGATGGTGCGTTTGTTGTGGGTTGGAGGATGCGAGGGTGGAGTTGGCGCGGAGGTCGTAGAGGTAGACGGCGGAGGAGTCCGTGGAGAGGAGGAGGGTTTGGGGCGTTTGGGCGTGGAGGATGGAAGTTGGATCAATTGAGTTACTGTTATGGCCCACAGACACGTTAGAAAATTCAATCGAAGCGCATGAACCAAGTGGGGGTGTAAATATACTTGTGTAGCGGTACAGCGATTTTACTCGCGACCTGCCCCGTCTCTGTGGCCGCAACCTTCACAATTCCATCCGTCCCAGCAGAAAACAGTTGCTCCCCATCATGATCGAAGCATAGGCTGCGACAGCTTCCTTTATGACGACGCGTACGCCATGCGGTTTCGATGGTGCTATTGCGCGCCTCCTTGGGGTCTGAGGAAGGGAGGCGCTGGAGTTGAACATGGCCTGAGGCGAGGCCTAGAGCAAGGAGAGGAACGTTGGGGTGAATGGCTTGAGCGAACAGATCGGAGCGAATGGGGTAGGTGCAAATGGAGCTAAATGAGTTGGACATCGAAGGAAGGTGGGAGGATGTAATTGTTTACTTGGATGCTTTTAAACCTCAGCCCATGCTAAGAAAAATACCAGTAGCGTGATTACAAGGCCGCGCCAGACTTGTATGGGGGTCACATCAAAATAAGGCGCGGCCTCGTAGTAACCTCGCTGTCACTATCATACCGTCGCTAGATCTCGCTATCACCGATGAGGCTATTCGTATAATGAAGGCTCTCCGCCTTCCCGAGATATAAGGCGAAAAGAAGACTCGCCGCCGTCGGAGCTGGGGATTTCCACGGGGAAGAGGAAGAGGACTTTATCGGTGGTGTTGCTTATGTAGTCTAGTCTAATCCTCCCTACTCCTGGGCGGAAATACGCTCCCTTATATCGTCCCTCAATCCATCGTACTCGGAGTGTCCACGGGCAACTTTAGTATTGTTGACGCGACCTCCGAGGGTATCATAGGCGCGAGTTTACTACGTTTAATCCCCTTTCGCGGCTCTTTCTACTTATTAAGACTGATAGAGATCTTCCGCTTAATAGGGGGATAGTAGAAGGTAGGGAGGGTATTAAATGATGGCGACGGCGATCTAAACGTGTCAGAGTACGTGCCGCGACTTCACTCAACATCACTAAGGTCACTCTTATCCTTCTCTTATAGCAGAGCCATATCGTCTTTCGAGAAAACCTCTAACAGAGGACGATCCCGATTAATGCCTTCAGGGTTGCTACTATACCAATCCAGCTCCTCCTAAATATCCTCGAAGCCCCCATATTGCGGAGGCTGACGAACGACGCGTTCTTGAGAGATCATAGTGAGCGGGGCGGAGTTATGGATAGCTTCAAAAAAATTGGTGGGCGACAGCTAAGGAATGAAGAAGAAGAGTACAACAGGTAAGGAGGGCTGCCAAATTACTATGAGAGGGCCTTACTAATCCGGCGGGTCGGCCTAATCGTTCTCCGGTAATATTACCGTGGGGGTGGGCTGAGGTTTAAAAGCTACCGTTTACTTAGTGGTTGCTTCAAGTTTGGTGGCAAAGTATGCAGGGCCCCTATGTTGGTCAAAGTGAATGTTGTCGTAGCTACCAAACATTCTTATACTAACTTAGCTAAGATACTACCGTTTCAATGCTAATGTACACACGAGGAGCCTGCTCCCCACATATTTAACGTCCATCGATTCGCTCATCTGAAGTATTCTGAAGGCTATTTATTTGTTCTCGTCTTCTTTGGAGCCATCCTCTTCTTCCTCTTGCTTCCCTTTGCTGATGAGGAAGGCTCGTCGTATGCTTCCTCCACGTCCTCTTCCTCTTCAGGTGGTTCATATATGTCCTTGCCCCTAGCAGACCTTCTCGTAGGCGCGGTTTCTCTTTTCTCGGCTTTGGGTGCCTTCGCCTTGAGCTTAGGCTTCTTCTTGGGAGACTCGAGGTCTTCGCTATTTGACTCATCTTCCTTTGGAGGTTTGAATGTGTCGAATTTGCGCTTTGGTTTTTTACGACCGGTGGCCTTGCTGGCCTCTGGCTCTTGAGCTGCGTTCGCATCTTCTGCTTCGTCCTGCCCACTTTCCAATGGGGCAGCTGTAGCTGAAGCTTTCTGTTTACTCTTCTCCCCTGTATTAGGCATCTCCGTTTCTTCTTTCGGACCCTCTGCTGCTTGCGGCCTGACGACGTCGCGGCTGTTGTTTCGCTTCTCCCTGATGACTTTTGCTTCTGCCGGATTTAATAACAAGAATTCCGATACGCTGGTCTCGCATTTGTCTGCATGCTTAGTTTTGGCCTGCACCAGAGATTAAAACAGACCTCGAATTAGATGGATAGAATCTCACGTTAGCGCTCATCTTGTCCACGCTCTTCAAGCAGACATTGCAGTATCGTAGTTTCTTAGGAGCTTCAGATTGACTTGGCTGTTTGGGATCCTCATCCACCTGTGTCTCTGTCACCGGTTCTTTCGTTTGCATCCCTTCATCGAGGCCTGAACCAGCTTTTGAACGCCTTTCGAGTTCCATCGCCCGGTCTCGCAACGAGTCGCGCTCCTCTGTGATACTCACGAGGTCCTCCCGTAACCGGTCCCATCCATCTGCGGCGTCTTGGAGGTGCCTGACTTGTTGCTGCAGCCGGTCACGCTCCGTTGCCGCGTCTCGAAGATCCCTGACCTGTATTTGCAACTGGTCACGCACCTTTACGATTCTTTCGAGATTTTTGACCTCTTCTTGCAGTCGATCACGCTCCTCTTCGGTCTCTTCATTATCGCGATGAACGGACTCGTGCTCCTCTTGTTGCTAGTTGCTGTCAGCCGCTGTACTAACTCCGGATAATTACCCTTACCTTGGCCGTCAGGGCATACATGTTCGTGTGGCAATGTTGATGTTGACAGATGCCATCTTCAGCGTGTTCTTCTTCAATGTGGAGTCGCAGATGTTCTGAAATGGCCTTGTTTTCATCAGACGATAGCTTGCAAATCATGACACTTAAGCTTACCTCATAGCTTGATTCTGTCTGGTTTTCACCCAACCAACTCGTACAATTTGGTTGCGGGCACTTTTGCGGGTCTGGCTGATGAATAATCTTCTTTTGATGTAGCTTAAGGTGGTCTTGTTGTTGCTACGGAGAGTCAGCATTATGAAGTTTGCAACGGTTAGCGCATTTTTACCTGTTTCGTCACCCCTGCCCAGTCCTGCGGACAGAATGGACAAGAGGATTTCAGCTTAGCTCTGCTCTCTGAGATCCTTAGCCGCTGCTCTAAACTGTTCATTTCAGAAAGCTTCTCCTCTGCAATTCTCAGCCGCTCTTGTAGGCCATCAGTCTCAACAACGCTCGCCTCTGCAATCTTCAACCGATCTTTGAGCTCATTTATTTCAGCATTAGTGAGCAACCGTGGATGTATCGAAAGAAAATCTGGACCTCCGCGACCCTCTGTTGCTTTGATGGAACTAGGTTCAGGGAGTTGACCAGTGATCAAGCTACCGAGGATATCTGATGGTGGCTGATCAGGGATGCCCAAAGCGTTTATGGATCCTTGATCAACATGTGGACCTGCTCCTGACGGTGCTTGAAGCACGTCGGGTACTTCTCCGGGACCCGTCTCAGACTTGGCATTCCCATGCCTAGGAGAACTGGTACTTAGGGAGTCGGACCCGTCTGTTACATCCTCGAAAACGTCGCGAATGAAAATCTCTACAGGGTGAGAATCCGATTTCACTGGGGTACCCGAGAGCTCAGCAAAGATTTTTTGGATGTTGTCGTCCACCACCACGTTTGAGTTACGATCGAGGCCGAAGGCGCCGTGGCCGGGTATATCAAGGCTCAAATTGTTCGATTTCGGGTACGCAGACGAGTCCCAATCGAATAAGAATTTAAGTGCCTTTTCGAAATGCAGATTGTTCAAGTACAAATCTCCGGTATTGTGCCAATTTGCCGAGCAATAGCAGTAGCCAACGTTTGGGCGCACTATCTTCAGATCATACTTCAGTTCGCCCACACCACCTGAGTCAAAGCCTGACTCCAGGTTCCACGAAGACTGATACCTCGTGGAGCGAATCCGAAACTTATTGTCTGGCCGGCCAAAAACTGGTTTTATGTTGTCCTGAAAATTCCGATTTGAGGCCCGAGATACAGAGACAATTTTCTCTTCGCGAATAACTTTCCCAGGACCCAGGATATCCAGGAACATGTCCCAAATTTCGGTTGGACCCTCCTTCGCTTTCTCTTCCTCATCCTCTTCCTCATTCCCGACCAGCCAGCAAGCCATGGCATAGAGAGCTCTGTGGGTAAATTCTCTGAGATACATGCCTCCTCTGTTGAATTGGAGTAGAACTTCAGCCTCAAGCGGGGATTGCGCGAAAATCGGTGCTGCACTTGTTTGAGAACCCGAGTCGATGTCATCAGTAGGTTGCCTTTGAGTTGGCTCTCTTCCCAAACCCGGCAAATTGATGTCATTGTACCGATCTAGGAATCCAAGCGCCTGTTTGTTTTGTGTATTGTGCTGCTCCCCAGCTCCGCGCTGTACCTTCTCTTTCCGCTCGTTCTCTAGCATCGCAATCTTGGCTTTTGTCGTTGGCGAAGGTGGATTTTCGTCGAAATGTTTGCCCCAGTCGATCGGTTGTCCAGCGGTCACAGGATCCAAATCACCTGGTTTCGTCCAGAAATGGAAGGAAGGTAACTCATCGTGAGCTAAGGCAATGAAAAACAAATTGCGTAGGGTCTTCTTCTCATCGTCGGCTCCTTTGTCAGCTGCTTTCCCGAAAGGGACTATGGAGCTCAAGGGAGGCCGGGAGATTGGCTGGTCGTCTAGAGCAGCAAGACACCGAGTTTCGAAGTCGTAAATGTCGCCCAGGGTGATAATTGCTGTCTTGGGGTTCGCATACCCCACGAAGTCGGAAGCACGAAAGATTTTGCCTGACCGGAGGAATCCCGATAGAATACCCTTACGAGCATCCTTGATCATCTCATAATTGGGCTTCTTGGGGTCCTTGTCCCGAGGCACACGTCGCTCTCCCACAAGTGTTTCGAAGAATTCAGGAGGAGCAGCGGTAGCAGCATTTTGGCCGGATTTCAAACGGGGCTCTAAAGGCAAAGTGAGGGGTGTGGCAGATTCGCCGAAATTGGACTTCAAGAGTTCAGAAAACCCCAACATGGCAGCGAGTTCAATGTTTTGCAAACATTGATCAACGCAACGCTAGATCGTTCAATGTGGCCATTCTTGTTTTTGTAGTGATGCGCAGCGGTCGGCATTCTTGTAATCGCAATAATAGAGAAAAGATATCGATGGGGAGAGCTGTCTGCAGGCAGGCTTCTGACAAAGCCCAGTTGGAGCCATAGACAATGAATCAAAGACAAAGGATACGAATGTAACATGCAGCACCATGCTTGCGGTGAGATGCGCTCAGAAACAAGCCCAGAATATGACGCTTCGGATTAGGAGATTGAGGAATGAAACAAGCCAAACAAGCCGCATCTGGCATCTGAGACAGGTGCAGAATGTGTAGCTCACTCTCCTCGATCAAGCTGATGTGGCTGTATGACCACTTCTGGCAGCATTGCTGTCTCTTGTCGATTATGAGGCACTGCGGATGCTAAGATATTTGTAGCTTGCTGGACTTGTAAGGAGGGGGACCGGCAGAGTCCTGCACTTATACCCATTGTTCTATCTACATTGCAATAATTACGGCCTTTGATGTAAGCAAATGAACCTTGTGCCCGGGCACGCTGGGGAGCCTCAGTGCGAGAGTGCCTCCTTAGGGTCCTCGACCAATGGAGTATGTCCTACACGAATACTCTGTGCTGTCAACAAATTGTGTTAGATGAACGCAATCTGAAGAGTCACTTTATTGAACAGCCCAAAGTGCTCACCCGAGATCTTGAAGCATGGAGCAATGGGTTCGCCGCAATCCATTGACCCTTCCCGCTACTCTGCTCGGTCTTCAACTCGCAATCACCGTCGGTTTCAAGCTCTATAAGATAAAGACTGGCGGAGCCCAAGATGAGCAAATTGTGCCTTCCCCAAGCAAGACCTTGTTGCCAAAGCTTTCACCTGAAGAGACTGCAAGCTGTCCATACCCACCGGATGCCTATCCAGGTACAAGAGATGTCGAGTCACCCTATGGAAGCTTGAGAGTCTACGAATGGGGACCAGAAAATGGGAGAAAAGTGTTACTTGTACACGGGATATCGAATCCGTGCATTGCATTGGGAGCCGTTGCGCATGGCCTGGCTGACAAGGGGTGTCGAGTGATGATGTTTGATCTTCCAGGTCGCGGATATTCTGATACACCTGTCCCTACTCCCCATTCAAACCGCCTCTACACCACTACAATCCTTTTAGCTCTGACCTCGTCTCCTCTATCATGGACAGGCAATGGCGAGACCTTCTCCTTGATTGGCTACTCCCTAGGCGGTGGAATCGTCGTCAATTTCACTTCTTACTTTCCTTTTCTTGTTTCTTCCTTGGTCCTCCTCGCTCCGGCTGGTCTTGTCCGCCAGAGCCGTATTACTTTGATGAACAAAATACTCTACAATACAGGATTGATCAACGAGACAACTTTAGAGAAGATCGTTATAGGTCGAATGAGACGTGAAGAACTACCGGCAAGGCCTACTAAGCTAAAAAAGAAGCCATCGATAGGAACCGCTATTGGAGAGGAGATGCCAAAAGAGAGAGAAGAAGATATACCCACCCCACCATCTTTGTCACACACTAGGCCTAACATCACGATCTCGGGAATCATAGTACGTTTACATCTTGCAAGTCGCAATGATGGTTGAATTATCTGATTTCCTTCAGCCATGGCAGCTTGACAATCATCCAGGATACATCAAATCCTTCATGTCTAGTATTCGATATGGGCCAATCACCGGACAACATGCTGACTGGCAACGGATTGCCAAAAGATTGGCTGCACAGAATGCCTCCATGGAGGAGAGAACACAGAAAGAAGGTTTGCAGAACGGCAAGGTACTGGTCATAGCTGGACACAAAGATGCAATCATTGTCGAAGACGAGCTGGTTGCAGATGCTACAGAAATTCTAGGGGAGAACAGTGTCAGATTTGAATTCGTTGACGCAGGTCACGATCTGCCTGTCTCTAAGAGCAAGGAGATACTTGGATTTATCTCGGCCTTCTGGGAGGAAAGTTCCTCGACGCCAAGGTCATGAATGCACGAATAGTTCAGAACTTCGCTTCCCTTTCTTTCTTACCCAAGAGTTACATATCCATGAAACCATTCGCCTTTCATAGCCAGTGGTTCCTTTCTCTCTGCTTACCAATCTCAAATTGCATTCCTCCCCAACTTGTCGTGATATTTGTGTGCTATTTCTTGCTACCTGATTCTTTGAGTTTGGTGCAAAATGGTCTCTCCGCTCCCTTCCGAACGAGGCGTTTAACGTGTAAAGGTATCTAAGATTTAGCATCCGACCAAAGATGTCTAAACGTGAAAATGTGCTGTTCTCTACACTGACTTGTTACGCTCGCCATGATCGGTCTGCTACACCGTCCAAGGTTTTGGGAAGCTCTGGTCTCCGCACATGCTAGAAGGACATTTTGGGCGAGCTCGGTCCTACGGGAGAAAACAAGAAGCACCGCAACACCATTGTACCAGCGCCATTAGGAATCCAACCTAATACGAACTAAATATCTCCGCCAAACACGGTCACAACCAACAGGTCTCCGCCCTCGGACTATGACTACCGGGGAACATTTCGCTTCACAAATCAATCCGTCGCACGGAATTCGAACCTAAGCCCTCGTCAATACCGTTCGACGGAACTTTAAAACCTACGGCTAATAGGGCTGCCAGAAAGTAAGAAGCACCGCAACACCATTGTACCAGCGCCATTAGGATTCGAACCTAATACGAACTAAATATCTCCGCCAAACGACGGGTGGATATCTGAAGTTGAGCTTTGAATGAGCTATGGCGATTCGATTCAGGACATCGCAGGCAGAAGAGTCAGATGCACAAGGGGATGGTTGATTCTATATTAACCTCGCGGCTGATATGCTATACTAGTAAGACACAACTACGTGTATCTCTATTACACTATTGTTGAGGAGGACGTGGCAGATTCCAGTGGGCTTTATTTGCTCAAGCCCGAAGTCAGAAAAGCCCAAAATACGTGCTCTGGCTTGAAGCCACAAACTCTCCCAATAGTACTAACATAAAACGACCCAAACCCTCGCCCAAAGATTTCCTACCGTCCTGCGACGAGTGCAAATGGATCTCATCTTTTATCCCCCAAATTACGCCTATAGTCTCACCCTCACTCTCACCAATCCTCTCACTGACCTTAGAATGTCCCACCCGACCCCCTCCCCCACCCGCCTCACCACGGATACTCCCTTATCCCCAACGCAACTCACTCCCGACACCCCCTCATCCCCCACCTTCCCTCCCATCCCCGCCCGCAACCCCAGTCGTGGCAACAGCAATAGCGAATCCCAACGCCCATCCCAGAACGAGGTCACGCTACAACAAGCACTGGAGCAAGGGCCGGTCACAGTGCCAAAGAACCTGAGACGCTTGTCGGAATTTGATGCAAATCTTAGTAGACGCGAGAGGAGGAAGTCAAAGGCGTGGTCGGGCGAGAGCCAGGGTGTTTCAGACGGCTATGGTGAGGGAGAAGGGGAGGGCGCAAGACGGAGGTCAGGGCCGTTGGATGCCGAGGAATTGAAGGTGTTTGTTGTTGAGAAGCTGAGGCGGGTGAGTTTTTACACTGTTTGGGGGGTGTGGTGGATGGGATGCTGATGGTTACGCTTTCTTAGATATCAAGGCTCTGGTCCAACCAGTCTTGATGGAAGATGATGGACGCTCATGGCATTTCTTTCGTCTCGGCCAGGAAGAGACAGCTGGCTTGTCCAGTTATGGTTCCCTTGATCCAGTCGATATGAGCCGCGCTGTCGGGAGCCTTGCAGACTTTGAATCTTGTATTGAGGGCGATACTGGTCCCGCTCACTTCAGGAAAGGGCATCTTTAGCAGAACGCAATAGAAAATTACTACACTGTAGAGAGTACCTAGGATAACCACAAGATAGTACAATAATCTAAAGTGTGCAACCCCTTCATTGTCTTATGTAGAACGAGATCCATGATGGGGCCGCCTAGCATCAACAGATCTTTTCACAACGTGGCCCACGTACTGACAAAGGAAAAGGAGCACTCGCAAAGAATGATACCAACCAGAGCTACGAGATTTACCGGCGCTAAGTCTACCAAAGCATGTAGCATAAGGTAGATAGCGAAGATGTGTTCACGTAAAAAGTAAGGAGATTGGCAATTGTATATATAGATAGTAGAATGTGTATGAAGAAGACAATGAATCCATGTATTCGGCTGGATAGGGGGTACGAATGCGTACGCGGAGGATGGTGGGGAGGTAGGCAGAGAGGAAGAAGAGGAGGCAAAGACAGGGTAGAAAAGGGCAGGCAACGATGAAGTTGGAGCAGATATTGACTCTGACATGTTGTAGGGAGACGTATAAGCTGGCGAGAGGTGTTCAAACGTACATCCGAGAACGGAAGCCCGCCTTGAGATACTTACCGCTTGGTTCAAGTCGAGATTTTATCAAAAGTTGGAAATGTCCTCACATCATTAGTCCGCCGGGACTGTCTTCGTCACAGGCAGGTCTGAGGGATGGAGATGCCTCGTAGTCACTAACGCACAAAGCCCCTTGTCTCGCTCAAAGCAAGGCAGGTTCTGAGGTGCTGAGATACGAGGCACTGGGTCTAATCTTGCGCTTAGCTTGTGATCTACCAACAATGGAGAGTATGTTGGAGACGTTGTGTGTTCTGTCCAGTAGCGCATGGTGTGTCTAATAAGTAAAAAGCACTGAGGAGAAAGCAAGACAGAAGAAGTATATTCGGACTCCCTGTAGCGCCAACGCTATGCCAACTCCCACCCGAGTGCTTGGAATAGAATACTGTACACTGCTTCTTGACCTCAGGCGTGGCCTAGATCACCAGGACTCAAGTCACTGGCTCCCACTGATTCCGATGCTTTACTCAACTCCATGCTCTTGATCGACCAACCAGCTTCCTCTTTGACCCAGTCCTTCCTCTCGCCTAGGACTGCGATCCTAGCATCTTTCATACCTTCCACGAGGTACCGCTGAGCGACCTCACGTATCTCTTCTTTCTTGACGTCCAACAGCTGCTCGCGCTTAGTCTGCTCCATAGCCTCATCCACACCACTCAAAAACCTGGTCATGCCCTCCTGGCTGACGCTTTCAGGAGCGTCGACGCCTTGAAAGACGCTCAACTTCGCTTCCTCGAGGTTTTGATCTGTCCACTCTTTGTCTCGAGCCCACCGACCTGCGTCCCGCATGACCTTTAAGGTGCTCTGTGGATTGGGATCTCGGTAGCTATAGTAGCCAAACAAGCCACTCAGACCTCGGGAGTAAGCCCCACCGCCATAGGCACCACCCTTCTCACGAATCTCGTGATGCAGATGTTTGTGAGTGAGGAGTTGAGAAAGGATCTGCAAGGGGCCACCAGAAGCGTGAGTGTACGATACGGTAGGAACGGCGAGGGCCGAGTAGTAGACTTGATATGGTAAAGGGAAGAAGGTCGTCGGTCTAAATTTCTCACCGGATATAGACCCCTCATCTTTGGGGATGCTGGTAGACTGAGGGAATCCCGAGAGAAATTGTTGCAGTGCTGCTTCATTGGAAGAGACGGACTCATGTCCACACGTAAGTGCTGCTCGGAAGGTTGACGAATTGGAAATAGCAATGTGTTGGATAGCCTTCAACTTGGCAATGACATCGCCGAAACTCTCAATGGGAGGTCTGTTGGCTAGATCTCCGGTGTGTTGAATCTGTGTCAGACCTCCAATCTGTTCATTCAGTAGGCTATGTCCGGAGAGCCCTGCTTCCGCATATCTCCGAGCATAGGAATGTCCAGAGCCTGAGACAGCATCCAACGCACCATTCGCGTCAGCTTGAAGCAGCTGCCTGATTTTGCTTTCGGCTTCCGGACCATCGAAGTTCGTCTCCTGGAGAATGGTCCGGAGCAATTCATACATGGCAGGCACATTACTGTCCAGTGCATATCCAGAGAAAGACAGCCCCTCCACGGATGTCCTCATATCCGTCGGCGAAGGTGAAGAATGGTAGGATGTACTTATCCCGCCGGTCTTCAGTTTGATGAGATCTTCAAGCTGCTCCATGCTCTTATCTTTTGTACCAAGCCGCATGATCGAGTCATTGAAAAGCGGAATAAGCATACGTAGCTCTGACGGGAGGCCAGCAAGGGTGTTGATGGCCCGAAAATAGGTCAGTCCGTTCGTGCTGGCTTCTCGCCATTGGATCTTGACATCCCCTAGCGTTGAGTCTCGGACTGGCTTCTTCTCCATTTGACGTGGGATATCTTTAACATGGACACTAGGCAGACAGCTCACATCTTGATCGCTCGCGTTCTCTTGAACCTCAAGTAGCTCGAGCTCACGTGCTGTAAGCTGCTTTTGAGCTTCAGCCTCTCCGCCTGCCTCCCTAGTCACCTCGGAAATCTTTACCGCCAAGCGCGTAGCTTCCTCAATGGCCAATTCTTCGCCGTAAGTATCTAAAGGCTCCATGATGAAAGTCAATGTACGATCATTGAGAAGGTACTTTTCAAGTAAGTCCTCCAGGTAAGTCCCTTCGGAAAACCGTTGCTTGAACGCGGTGACAATATCATTCCAAGCTAGAGCGTCGAATGGATCAGCCCCATTGAACCAGCCTGGCTGTACTCGTTGCATGAGACCCATGCCAAAGCTGGCTGTTTTGTGCTTCAGAGCCAGCTCAAGCTGGTGCAAATAGCCGTCCACCTTGGCCTTTTCGAAGCGCTTTTGATGGACTTCACGCAACTTAGACTGAATAGCCTCTTTAACCTTCGGGAGATCTGCCTCTCTTACACCATTGAGGCCAATCGACAAGATTCCTATTTTGCCGGCGCTATCGTAGCCGGTGTTTGGGCTCCAATCTGGGCCTAGACCAGCTTCGATAAGAGCTTGGTATAATGGAGAACCGTAGCCATCAAGGAGCAATGATGACATGATGCCTAGTGAGAATGTCTCCAGTATGTTCGAAGTATCACCCATCAGCCAAGAAGTAGATGTCTTGTATTGCATGTCTTTGTCCACCAATGGATCAGCAGGTCCCTTGACAGTGTAGAATAGGGGCCCATTATCTAGGCTCGTTGGTGGCTTGATGGATGTGTCTGCTTGTATCCTTTCAAATCGGTCCAACTGCTGGCCCATTTCTTGCAGATGATCCGCAAGAGGCGTATCGCCGTAGGTGAATATTTTAGCATTGCTCGGGTGATAATTCTTCGAATGAAAATCTTTTAAATTCTGGTAGGTGAGATCAGTCATTTTCTGGGGATCGCCGCCTGAATTGTTGATATCTGGAAAAATCTGATTTTGGAACTTGATGTAATACAGATAGCTTGCGTCTGAAACCATGCCTTTCATTTCATTGTATACCACGCCCTTGAAGACCAACTTGTCATCTGTGCCGCTTTCGGCGTGACCATTCGCGATGGCTTTGGGGTTCTCAGGTCCGATCCGCCAACCCTCCTGAGTGAAGTCATTCTCTTTCAGCAGGGGATGAAATGTAGCATCCAGATAGACAGACAACAGATTTTTGAAGTCCTGCTGGTTCGTAGTAGCGAAAGGATAAGACGTGTGATCGGAGGACGTGAAGGCATTCATGAAATTGGAGAGAGACCTGGGTAGCATCTTGAAGAAAGGATCTCGAACAGGATACCTAGGCCAAGGTCAGCTCATCGCCTCGAAACATGCTTGGGCGGACATACTTCTGACTTCCGCAGAGCGTGGTGTGTTCAAGGATGTGGGGAACACCTGTATGATCTGGGGGGTTAGTCTTAAATCCAATGGAGAAGACGTTGTTCTTGTCGTCTCTGGCAACGTGCAGATATTCCGCTCCAGTCTTCTCATGCTCGAGGTGGAAGGCTGTAAGCTGTAACTCAGGTACGTGCTTCTTGCGCTTGAGCATGAACCCATGCATATTTTCTCCGAGCTGTCGAGACTGGTCGAGACTGGTCACTGATGCAAACCCACGCCGACTCCTTGGCGGCGCAGGATGTGTGCATCGTTGCCATGGTGTAGGCAACCCCTGCTTCCACCGTGTCAACCTAGAAAACACGCGCAACATCTCATGATTCGTTACCTAGGAAGAAAAGTGTCGCAAGATCTGGGAGGCATCAATTTGGACTTTAGCATCTTTTTGGACTAGTGGCGGGTGACTTCTGCGGCTTGGCGAACGACTCGAGACAGTTCATGACATGCTCTCTTTTCCCTATCCTGGATTGTCGATAGCCATACATTACATTTTTTGAACAGAAATAGAGGTCTACTGCCCTCGAGTATCCATATCTAAATACTGGGCTATCGCTATACGCCACATGTTCAAGAACCCCTCGACCCTCGCCTCCTCCATGTAACCGAGATCTTCGCCTGCCTAAAGTCTGGCATTCAATCAAAGAAAGAAAGTCATATTCGCAAGAAGTGAATTGCTATTGGGCTTGAAACTTGATACATAAAAGGCTTTGGTACAGAGAGTAGCGCTCAAGATAGACCAAGATCAAGCGCAGGGTAGCAGACCGATTGCCGAGACAGGGGCACACCGAGACAGGGGCACAAAGAACAAGCAAAGACAGCCGGGTGTCTGCATCATAGCTCACTTTACTCAATACAAGACAAATGACAGATGAACGACAAATGCACCTGAGGATCTGGTCAATCAGAAAGTGATCCTCTGGACACACCCAACCTTTTCTATCAAATCAACCATGGCGGGACATGCATCTCAAGCCCCTACAGCTCCAGCGAGCTCACGCCCTTCTCCAGCGGCAAACCACAATACATCATCTGATTACATCAATGGCCATGGGACTCTACCAGACGCACCAGCGCCAAATGCAGCTCCCGCAGCTTCGACCGGGAAGAAAGGCAAGAGCAAGAAGACAACGGATCCCAATGAGACAGGGAAGCTACTTGCGGCAAAGATAAATCAACTTGAGCTGGATGCTGCTGGAGAGAAGGATCAAGAGGCCGAGATTGGTGGGTACACTTTTACTCAAGAGTCAAAAGAGACTGTACTTGCTTCAATGAAAGAGCATGATCTACCACAAGACATGATTGCTGAGGTGGCGAGAGCCCTTGACCTGGGGCCTGAAGCCACACGGAGTGGACAAGGACTTCCAAGCCTCAAGACTATCGAGACGCTCGTGGCCAAATTCTCCCTCAATATCCCAAACCTCAGTCTAGCCCGCGCACATGAGAACTTGTTTGCCAGACCTCTGCCCATGAATTATATGGATCGACAGAAGCTGACAGAGATGCCCCTTGGGCTTATTGCCGATATAGAACGAGAAGTCAAAAAAGCAACCCGAGACTTATCGAACCTCTTGACTGGCATGGAAACACCACTTTCCAGACTTGAAGAAGTGCAAAAGAGGTACACCGGGCTGCTGGCTGATATGAAGCGCATGGAACGGGATAACACCAAGAATAAGAAGCGTGCAGACCTTCTGCAGAAAGAGAAGGACCAAGGACGGTCAGAGCTCAGTAAGACCAACAGCATGAAGGAAAAGCTCGAGAAGCTGTGTCGGGAACTCCAGCGAGATAACAAGAAACTAAAGGTTAGCTCCAAAGTACCCGCGCTCGCTTTGGATCAACACTGTAATTGACACATTTTGAAAGGACGAACAAAAGAAAATCGAAGACAGCGAGAGAAGGAGTCGAGAAGAGTTCAGTGACAGAACCAGCAATCTGTATTGGGTAATCGACGACACCATGGAACAAGCAGAGAATCCAGAGGGTCAGAAGATCAATGTTGAGCAAGATGAAATGTATGCACTTCAGCCTGAGTTTGCCTTAATGCATTTGCAACCGGTCACCTCAGATGCTAACACTCAAGTTTGCATTAGGTTCCGGCAGAAGTTCAAATCATTCACCGAGCAGTATGAGCTCCGCGAGCTTCATTTCCATGCCCTGATGCGGACCAAAGAGTGCGAAGTCCAGTTGAGCCTGGCACGTGCCGAAGAGCAACGAAAACGTGCTGAGGATGAAATGAAAAAATCACGAACACTGAACTCCCAGGTCTCGACATTCTCTCAAACCGAGACTGAGCTTAGGAGTCAACTGAACATTTATGTTGAGAAATTCAAGCAGGCAGGTCTACCTTTGCCCAGTTTATTGGACGCGATTCCCTTGTCCTGCCTTTGCTTTCGCTTTCGATTTTAATCTGCCCCCAGCAAGCATGTTGATGTTCTCAGATTTTATCATGCATCGTAATGGCGGCTGGCGGACAGATGGTCTTTCTTACTACAATTCTGCAGCCAAGCACCCTTTGTTATCCTCCATCTAACGTCTGTACCTCAGGTGGAAGAAACTCTCAATAATTCCAACGAGCTCTTCCTGACCTTCCGCAAGGAAATGGAAGAGATGTCCAAGAAGACCAAGCGTCTGGAGAAGGAAAATCTCAACCTGACCCGCAAACACGACCTCACCAATCGCAACATCCTTGAAATGGCGGAAGAACGCACCAAGGTCAACAAGGAGATGGAAGCCCTCCGCAAGAAGAACAACACTCTCGAGAGCGTGATTCGTCGTATGCAGGACCAAGGGCGTGCACCAGCGGGCGCGGGAGCACTCGAAGGCGACGAGGAGGGCACTGAGAGTGACTATGAGGAGGACGACTACGATGAAGAGGAAGGCAGCGAGGAGGGCGAATACGACGACGATACTGAGGAAGAGGCTCTGCAATCGCAGGTTGGAGCTCTTCCTACTTTCGGACCCGTACCGCCACCACCTCCTTCGTCGCAGGCTCAAGTCAACGGCAAGGTCAACGGAGAGATCAACGGAGCCACTAATGCTAAGTCTATCGTTGTGTAAGCTTCTGTGTCATGGTGAGATTTAGCCATGGCTTCCATAGCTGGCAGTCTGGATAACAGAAAGTCCACAATGCAGCCAGAGCATCATCACAATCAGCCCAAATGCTATTCTACCTTTCATAGTTTACTTTTCTTCCCACATGTAAACCCGCTACCTATTCTCAAACACTCAACTGCCTCTTCGATCATACCGTCAACGATATCCTTGGCAGGCTTAACGTCATTGATTGACGCTGACACAACCCCCATCAAGTACGGGAAATCCACATCCCTATCCTCCTCCATATCATGTTCCATCGGCACCACGCCTTTCTCCACCAACTCCCTAACCACCTCGCCCCTCCTCTCCCAACCCTCGATATATCCATTCCTCCTCACCCTCAACGGCCTACCACTAACCACCAACGTCTTCACTGTATCTCCCCACCCCGCACCCACCACCGCCTCCTTATGCCCCTGACTACACCCCGCCTCCTCGCTCGCCACAAACCTCGTCCCTACCCATACCCCCACTGCTCCCATCATCAAAGCCGCCGCCAAACCCCGCCCGTCATAGATCCCGCCTGCCGCAACGACCATGCCCGCCTTCCCGCCCAGCATAGGCGGACGGTACCGCGTCGCGATATCCACACACGCAGGGACGAGTAAATTCGCACTGATATCCCCCGTATGCCCACCCCCCTCGCCACCCTGCGCGCACACAATATCCACACCAGCCTCGAACGCCTTCTCCGCATGCCTCGGATGCCCCACCATGTTCATCACCATCACGCCCCCGTTGTGCAACCGCTGCACCACCCCCTCCGGCGGGACACCGACCGCCGAGACGAACAGCGTCGCCCCTTCTTCAACAACGACATCGACGAGCTCGTCCAGCCGCCCTTTCGTATAGTCGTGGTTGGTTTTCCGGGCAGTGCCGCCGACGGCGGGGAGCGCGAGGTCGACGCCGAAGGGGAGGGTGGGGCTGGTGAGGAGGGATTTCAACTCGCGGATCATGGCGCGCAGTTGGGCGGGGGTGTAGCCTAGGCCGCCGATGACGCCGAGGCCGCCGCTGTTGGACACGGCGGAGGCGAGGGGGGCCGTGGAGGTGTGGGCCATGCCCGCTAGGAGGATGGGGTGGGTTATGGAGAGGAGGGTTGTTAGCGGAGTGGTGAGGGTGGGGGTGAGAGAGGACATTGTTGGGAGGGTGGTTGTGTATACGGAGTTGAAGGAGGAAGTTACTTAGTTGGGTTGGAGTAGAGCGAGCCACTGTTTTGTTGTTAGTGAACGAGCTGGAGAGCAAACGGTGGGGAGCCGAGGTCCAACCGACGCATGGTCGCCAAGCACGTGGAAGAGGACATAGGCCAACACGAGATAGCAAAAGAAGTTTGTATAATCTCGATGATTTATGACCCAATATATGCTAATGCTTCCACAGTCCTCATCATCGCACAAATCGCGCACTCAAACTCGCAAAAGCATCAGGACTATGCCGACCATTTACGCTTTCCTGACTGACATGCCTTGCGCCCCCCGGCTCAATACCATTCGCAGCGTTGGCATTGCCCGTAGCCGACTGGAATGGATTTCTACTCCCGGATGAGAGCTGCACGGGCATGGTCACGCTCCGCTGTCCTTGCTTGATGCCTGGAGACAGATTCGCGATAGATGGTTCTGGTGATGGGGCAGCACTGGGATCATTCGGGAGAGGTGGCGGTGCCAGCTGAGGATAGTTGTACAATGCCAAAATGCTCGACTTGTCAATGCGGCCGGTTTGCTGAGGCTGGAGAGGTTGGGGCTGATACGGGTTAAACTGCTGAGGTTGCTGTGGTGGGGCCTGCGCAGAGTACTGTGAAGGGTCGGTCATCGAATGTTGCGGCGCAAAAGGGCTGGAGAACTGCTGTTGCTTGAAATGTGAGTGTTGATTCTGCTGCTGCGGGAGGGTTTGCTGAAAAAATGAATCTTGCTGGACCTGCGGAGAATAGGCTCCTGGCGACTCAGTAGAGTAATTATTCATGTGTTGTTGAGGTATAGAAGGTGGCTGATATTGCTGAAATGGATTATATGACTGCTGTGTATCTGGTATCTGAGGAGTTGATGCGTACGGATTTGTAGATGGCGGTAGGACCTGCTGTGTCGTCTGATAGAACGGATTATAGCTGTGATTAGGAGCGCTGTTTTGTTGTACATATGGACTAGATTGGATGTATTGCTGAGGCATCTGTGGTACTGGAGGTGTCATGGTCTGGAAGCGTGTGTCCTGCGCCGGTGGTGGCTGGCTCGGATAGCCTCCTGTAGCGTTTGGAAATAGTGGTTGCTGCTGCTGGGGAGAAATCTGCATGCCGGAAAATGCTCTTTCTAGAGGCACATTTGCCGGCTGCTCATTGGGAATACCGAACGGGTTGTATGACTGTGCTTGCGACTGGTATGGATTTGAATGACTGAAGCTCCTATTTGCTTGGGCTTGTGATTGGTCCATGCTCGGATATGATTGTTGTCCTTGCAACTCGGTGCTCGGCGCAGATGTGGCACCATTGGCTGCAAATGAAATGCCGGTCACGACACCAGTGTTCTGGGCGGTCGATGGTAAAGAGGGCAAAGGTTGACTGACAGCAATGTTCCTGGCCTGATTTGGTGTCCTTGACCTCGATGTAGGCGCGCTACCTTCTCCAAGTCTGACAAGGGTCTCAAGCGCCCGCTCCAGATTCCCATTCATGCCCTTCAATATGCTTGCATTGCGTTTTTCATCCGCGAAACCCATGGCTGTTAGCTGGGCCAGCTTCGCCTCCATCTCTCCTCCTCCGCCTCCCACGCTGGCTCCAAATACCCTCGATTGTTTGTTAACACGAATTGGTTCTGAACCGAAGCCATTAACGCTATCATGAGGTGAGCGAGGAGGAGAGGCCGGCGCGTTCCTGGACAGAGGAAGCATTGAAGATGCGCTACGTAGGCCAAAGCCAAATCGCTTGCCTGGCTTTGGTGGTAATGGAGGTGGCTGGTCTTCTGAGCTGCGGGTGCTGCCCGTATCATTGCGAGTCGCTGGTCGTCGGGAATGGCCACCAGAGAATAGCTGCTGATCGTACTTCTGTTTTATAAATTTCTCCAGTACCGCATCAACCTCATCGACATCCAAGGGTATCGGTGGCTTCGTACTCTGAGGGTTGAAGGTTCGATTGTTATTGACATTGCCATTGCGCCTCATGCTCTGTGACCACCGTAAGTGTATGGACACCGCACCCCTGGGTAAACTTACATCAACTTGATCATTGGACCAGCTGTCCATGCTCAACGATTTGACCTTGGAGATATGGGTACCGAGCTTGCGATGGAGCGAGGCGCATCGCATGCATAGAAATATGCCCAACTGAAGTCCAGCACCCAATGTCAGCCATGTTTCCTCCAACCTGTTGCTAGCAACCCTATCCACTCACACTCCAACTGGCCCATCCTATTGAGGCCACAGTCAGCATGGGAAAAGCTATGGATGCACCGAAGTAGGAGGAGGGTACCTGGATTCCTAGCTCCACAGTCTGCGCATCGGTCATTACCCGGAATGGTCTTGACCAACTCTTGAAGGGCTCTCTCGTTGCGCGCCTGGTGACGCTTGCTTAATGCGGTGGTCATATTGTGATTATATATGATGTAGATTGTGAGAAAAGAATAGAAGATGGAACCTTCCGGTTGCGAGATGCTCCACGCCGGCCGTACAGTAGTAATCCGCGTAATCCGCGGGATGAAGGAATGTAATTCAGCACAATTCGCAAAACCATGCAGAAAAGGAGAGCCTTAGCTTGGTGCGGCGTTGTATAGTTCTGAAGATCTGAATAGTAAGTTAGTAGATCGCTAAAGTAATTCAAACAAATGGAACCTAACGCTCCATCGGTTGATTCGTTAAGGTACTTTATGATATGCGTTATGATATGGCGATCCTTATGATATGGACAGATCTAACCGAATCAAGAGACCTATGTCAGATCTCTATTGTCCCCCGAAACGTGAATGTCTCGTGTCATCTGCGTGCCGCAAAGTTCTACCTCAGTTCAGTGGCCTCGTGGATGAAGGGATTTCTCCGTCCAGCCAGATTAAACCTTCAGAGTCCCTTCCTTCTTTCCCACTGCGTATTAATTAGGGCCCCCAGGCTTTTTAAAAAGCAAGGGAGCAAATAGCCCAGTATGGCGAAACCAAAACTCGTCCTTTATGTTGACGTTGTCAGTCCATTCGCTTACCTTGCATTCCACATCTGCTACGTAGGTCTCTTTTCTCTTAGAAAGCAATTGCGTTCGTGCAAATCTGTTGTCACCGTTCTCCATTCGATTCTCGGACAAATAGTCTGGTATCCTGTTATTACGGCGGTTCTTGGTATTAATTTGAGAATCCCAATGACTGTTCAAGGTGCGAACAAGATCATCACATGGAAGTCTTGGATACGATCTAATCTTGAGGAATAGTTTACTGATTCTACTTTTCGAAATAGACATCTCCCGTTTTTAAAGGATGCGATGTCACCTACGTCCCTGTGTTCTTGGGTGGGATCATGAAAGCGACGGGGAATAGACCACCTCTCCAGATTAAAAGTGGGTTTCGCTCTTACGCCTTGCGTCTTGCAAGAAATCTAAGTGTCGTATGATAGACAAGGGCGAATGGATTGGCAAAGAGCGGCTCCGCTGGGCCAAGTCATTTAATATACCCATGGCTGAGGGCATTCCTCCCGGATTCCCTGCCAACACGATCAAAGTGAGATTTCAAAGGACAACTCCTCTCAAAGTTAAGCTCATCCTCCGGCAGGTCCAGAGAGCTTTAACTCTTGTGGGAATTCTGCATCCACAGAGATTGGCAGAAACCCTTGCTGCTGTCTTTCATGCATCGTTTGCGGAGCAGAAAGAGGTCCATACCCCGGAGAGTCTCACGCCTATTTTCGAAAAGATATTTGGGGAGGAGGGAACAAAGGAAATACTGACAAAGGTAGGCATCGAGCGGGTCTGGATCCCTGTGTCAAGCTAATTCGACATCCTCGCAGTCGACAAGTGACGAGGTCAAGCAGCGTTTGACAGCTAAGACCAACGAAGCGCTTGCAGAAGGCAGCTTTGGACTGCCATGGTATGTTGGTGAGTTTCTGAAGTCCGGCAAAGCATGGCGATAAGCTGATTAGACAAAGCTACCAATGCTGAAGGAGAAAAAGAGTGCTATTGGGGATTTGATCATATTGCTCAAGTCACAGATCATTTGGGACTCGAAAGGCCAGGATCCGATAGTGTCAGTGGAACAGGCTGGCGAGCCATGTTATAATTATGTACGAGAGCAGCACGCAAAATTTTCGGTCACAGGATAAAGGACTCGGGCCCATTTAGAGCTTTCCCATCCTCACCAACGGGAACACTCATCGTCCTTCGAGGTGCTCGCACTATGGTGGCTTTCACAGCTTCCGCAGATGCCTCACAAACACAAGCTTCAACCAAACCCTGATCAATTTCCCTCCTCCTTCGTCATGCTCCTGTTTTGATCACGGAGGAATTCGGATATCTTCTCAGGATGGGCTTCATCTACAGCCGCATGGTGGCTCGTGTCTCCTTGTGCGCTTGCTTCATCGGTCTGACCGCTTTGTCCGGTTACAGATTGCTGCAGGTAACTTATACCTGTGAATTTGGATATGATTAGCACGCGGAGAGATTGAGCCCAGAGATTCCACTACTTACCCTTGTCGAGCAAACTCTGGCTGTCCCCACTGCCTCCTGTGCCTTCGCCAGCAACTGAGCTTAGCTTGTCACCTAAGCCATCCCGTCCACCAGCAGAGCTCTGCTCGTCCGCTTGCGGATTCTGGCTTTTTGGGTTGTCCATAGTGAAATCTGTCTTGGGTTTAAAGGATTGGCTCTGTTGATTGTCCATGGCTCAGGATGTCCGGATTCTCAAATTTCGTAAAAAGGATGCTCGTCGTAGCAGTTAAGGCTTGCTGCTGGGAGTGAGAGGCTTCAGACTGCCGAACGGGAGATAGGCATTGATGGGGAGTAGGCGAGTTGAACGGCTTCCGACTGTAGTCGCCGTCTTCTCCAGCTACTGTGTTGTAATATGACAATCGATGGTGTCTCCGATACATCCGCTGTCACTCCAGCTCTTAAAAGTTTCTCAGTTGCGAGACGGCGTTGCTAGAGATCTTACACTCCTGGCCGCAAAGTGAAGAAGGTGCGGACTTTGGTGGGGCACGCCAAGCCAACATCAGGCCATTCGTTCTTGCAGCTGTTAGCTACGTACACGTCGAGCAATGCCGCCAATCCCCGTAACCATCGTGACGGGATTCCTAGGTACGCGCTATCTCTGGGTTGGATGATGCACCGCCAGCGTTAATCCGCTAACTACCAGCTCAGGCTCCGGAAAAACGACACTCATCCTTAACCTCATCCCGCAACTACCGAAGACCTACGTACGTACATTTCGGATACTTCCTTTTTCGTACTGAACATGAGTCGCAAGACATATTTCTGGAGTATATTGACCTGTCCTGCACCCGAGAATTGTCTTGTGACTCAATTTTCTACCTTGCGAAGCAACGCTGACCCCGAAATGTGCGTAGAAGCTCGCCCTCTTGAAGAACGAATTCGGTGACGTTGCTGTCGATTCTCAACTGGCCTCCTCGTCTGCGATCGGAGGGGTGCAAGAACTTCTCAATGGCTGCATCTGTTGCAACCTGGTCGGTCAACTCGGAGATGCTTTGGATACCCTTCGCAAAGATGTCCATCCAGACCGGATCATTATCGAAACCAGTGGGTCCGCGTTCCCAGCAACTCTTGCCATGGAGGTGAATAGACTGGGAAGAGAGACAGGATACTACGCGCTTGATGGGGTAATCGTCGTCATTGATGGTACGTATTTTTGGAATCCATCTTTCCTCTTTTCAACCAAGTCTTGAGTATTGAGACATGTCCTGGGAGTTTCTACTCCGTAGACATGTTCCAAGGCTCAATGCAATCCTTTGCATAGGCAATACTGACTCCGAAATTACACTGAAGTGGAAAATTGGAAGGGGTACGAAGATACATCGTATACGGCAAAGATGCAGGCTCGCTACACGGATCTGATAGTGTTCAACAAATGGGAGCTGGTCCCCGAAAGACGATACGAAGACTGTTTGGACAGAGTGGGGGATCTCGAGTTACAAGTCGCCACAGTCAGATCCGAAAGAGGCCGAGTCGACCAATCTGTTCTGCTCGGGTTAGACAGTGCATTTGCAAAGATGCTCGACCCTTTGTCCAATACACATGATGATCATGACCATGATCACGCGAAGGACCACCAAAGCGAGGTCGAAGTTATTTCAGTCACCCTATCGTCTGAAGACATAATGCATCACGGTGTCAACCTTGACTCTCTCGAGACCTTTTTGCTCTCCACCCCTAAAGACGAAGTATATCGCATCAAAGCAATAGTAAAGGCCTCGCGCCCACCGGCTTCTTCTGGGGGAGATGTTGAGCCAGCGGTTATACATCAAGGGCAAACAAGCGCCAAATACATCTTGAACTGGGCATTTGGCCGGTGGACCTTCACTCCAATGAGTTCGGCCATACAATCGAGTAGTGCGCTTTCGTCTAGAAATTCGAGAAGTGGCTCGATTGTTGAGATGCCAGAGGGCCTAGAGATTGACCCTCTTGTGCGGATGACGGTCATTTTAGCCCGTGGCGAAGCCGACAAGTGGAAGAAACGCATTGAGACGCAGGGTCATATTGAATCGGAAAACGAAGATGGCAAAGCAAGACTGCAAGTCACGAAGATCCTGTTATGAACTTCAGAGTAATGCGTAACTGCGTCCGTTCATCTCGAGGAATTGAGAGCGACACCGCAGTTCTGAGGCCGAATCCTTGTCCACCAGGCGATGGTAGACGATAAGTCTGGTTATATTGACTTGGCCTTCTGGGATACTGCCGCATGTCCTGAACCCCTTTCTCCCGCAAGAAATATGCAAAGCGAAACTTTGGGGCGCGGTGCCTTTTCACTTTGGTCGCATTATCTATGTTGCTTTTTCGCAATTACTGATGCAGATGATCCGGATGAAACTCTCCCAGCAATAGATGCACTGTGGGGTTGTATCCTCTTTCCGAGAACGTACCAGGTCGAAGCCGCACAAGCGCGACTGGTTGGCTCATCCATTTATTTAACCAAAACTAGTGTATTTAAGCTAGTAGAGGAACATCTCCAATGGTGACTTCAGGTGTGGCGAAGTTGGAGCGAGCCATCCAGCTCTGGCATGCATCTTTCAGTCCTCAAGAAGTGCCAAACAAGGTCTGCTAATTGGTCACTTGCAGATTTTTTATACGTCTCTCCTCGTTCTCTGATCTGTTGCTCCTGTATGCAGAGGGTCTGTACAATTGTCATTCTTCTTTATTCAGGCCTTACCAATGGTTTGCAAGACATTGTTGGAAATGATTTCCAGCCACGTTTTTGAGAAAAAATCCCGTCACAGTGGACTCGGTTGCCTCCAACTTCGCTTGCGCATTCTTTGCCAAAATATTTTACACCCTATATAAGTGCATCTACCGTCTATACTTTTCCTCCATTGCCAAACTTCTCGGGAAGAAAATGGCAGCGTTGACCCTTTGGTATCATTTCTACTTTGACGTTGTCAAACGTGGTACTTATGTTTGGCAAATCAAAGAGATGCATGAAAAATACGGTTTGACTGTAGTCATGTCCGTTCAAAGCGTGCGCAAAGCCGGATCATCCTTCCTGCCCCAATCGTCCGCATCATTTCGTACGAACGCTCTGTGGCAGATCCAAGATTCATGGACAAGCTTTACCCTACGCAGGCCAGGAATGTGGAGAGGTGGTCTTGGGCTGCTGGCATGGTCGGCAGTTATGGGATGCCAATTGGATCTGTATGCCACAATCTTCGCCGATTGAGCCGCGGAGCCATCAGCAATCTCTTCTCGAAGACCTCTGTGCGGAAGCTTCAACCTGTGATTCTAGGTGTGATTGACAAGCTATGCAACAAGCTCGAAGTGATATGAATACTGATCAACCCGTGAACATGGAGTTTGCGAACTCCACTCTTATACAGGATGTCATCCCGGAGTACTCCTATTCCGACTGTAGCAACATGCTTGGGTTGGAAGACTTTTCACCCAAGCATCATGAGTTCCAGCAACGGCCTTCAGAGCTTGTGGACTCGTAAGAAATATTCTCATATCGTTTGACGATCTTTTACGTCCGTTGCTGCTGACACGAATCCAGAATCCAGAAATATCCCCTTACGCTTCCAATACTGAAGCCCTTCCCTGACTGGACGGTTTGGCTTACGAGTCCGCTCTTCGCCGAGATCGGCACATTGCTAAAGACCTTTGACCATAAAGTCGAGTCTATCTTCTCAGGCAAGGGTACTCTTGGCTCAGACTTGCACCCCACAATCATCACTTCCTGCGTGATAGCCCTGATCTCCCAGCCTCAGAAAAGACCATATCTCGTGTTCCAGCCGACGCCGAAAGTCTTGTTGGAGCAGGCACTTTGACCACGGCGCATATGCTTAATATGACGACGTACCACATCCTCAAAAATCCGCCGATCTTACGTATAATGTGCATTGAGTTTGGAGTTGCGATTCCCAACGCTGCCAATAATCCATCGCTCCAAACACTCGAACAGCTTCCCTGCCTCACAGCAATTCTGAACGAAGGCCTCTGCATATCATATGGCACGATCCATCGCCTACAACATGTTCACCCCAACATAACCCTGACCTTTAACGAATGAACCATACCACCGGGCGCACCTGTCGGCATGAGGTCTCTCTTCATGCACAATGACACCAGGGTATTCCCGAACCCACGCCAGTTTAAATCAGAGCGCTGGCTAGGCCCCGAAAAAGCAGGAAGACCGAAGTCTTTTTTTATTTTGGTAAAGGCCAGAGGATGTGTTTGGGCAAGGGATTGGCGCTGGCTGAGATGTAGATGGCGCTTGTAATGGTGTTTGGGAGAATGGGTGGGAGGATGAGAATGTTTGATACGGAGAGAGAAGGGACGTGGATGTGAAGCATGACTTCTCGTTACGAATTCGAGCGTTGAGAGTCGGGGTGTTCGGGCATTATCTGGTGAGGGTGGTGATGTTGAGTGATCGCGTGAGGAGTTGACCTTGGGACACACGGACTAGGGCAACACAGCTTCCTTTACTGTATTTTGGGTTCGGTCTCATCGCTTGAAGTCTGAGCGCGCCTTCACTTTTGAGTCAAAAGACCGTTCTCATTTCGCGAGAAAAAGCGTGAGACTCAGCGTCGAGTTCCGTTCTCGAAATTAGAAGCACATGGTGCACCGACCATATGGCATCGCGACAAAAACAGCGGGGGGGGGGGTATTTCCAGGGACCTCATGGAAGGTTGATGGATCCTATTCTCTTGGCGTTTCAAGAATGTTTGGTCGCTACCGCGAAGGAATATGACTGCGGTTCTTCTATTCTGAGTCTCGCTGCCGCAAGGATCCAGGAACGATAGGGCGGCGAGACGATTGTTGTATAAGTACGTGCTTTTCGGCCATATTTTCTTGATCTGGGGGAAAAGATCCAAGTTAATCAAGCAAGTTGTCTCCTTTTTTCTCTCTGAATATCTCTCCAGGCCCCTCATTTGGCTTTTTATCCACAGGATGGGTCCAGAAATACAGTACGACGATGGACCTCAGGAACCAAGAGAGAGAACATTGGAGATGTCACTACCTTCATCCCAAAATGATGATAAATCCCAAGAAGTCAAAAAAACAGTATCTGAAATTTCGCTACCTTCTCCCCAACCAATGACACCCAACAGAGCAAACCGGCCCATCGTTACCCCCAAAAACCCACCACTCTATACCCTGAAGCGCCAGAAAGACTTCCGCGACAGAGACATATACTTCGCCATCAAATGGGCATGCGGTATCCTAACCGTCGCAGCCTCCATCGTCTTCGGTATCTGGGCGCCTTTGTCTTACGAAGCCACGATCGCCGACAACGATACCCAGAACTCCATGGTCACCGTCCTCTCCAACGCCAAAGATCTGGCTTCGACGGCCAACATCATCGCGTCGAACGCACTGGACACCGCAAGCGCACAGCGCGACGCGATGGCATCACTGTACAGCACGATCGGGCTGATGGGACAGCTGGCCGTCATGGAATTCTGCTACGGGCAACAGGTGCGGTCCCAGTGATCCGAGATATGGACTTGGCAATCCGCTGATCCGGACAGACGCTGAGCGCTTGCGGTGCCTACGTCCAGGGAGCGGAGCATTCACTCGAGAGCCTGATCGATCGACTAGGACACAGGGCGGTTTCGACCACTGCGACTGAGCCGGCGGGGCCATCTGTCGCGACGGTTACCCCGGAAGGTAGGGGCGCTGAAGCTGTTCCTGATGCAGCTCCTCCTCCTCCTTCCAATAATGCAGCTTCCGATCCTGGGGCAGCAGCTCCGACGGAACAGCAACCGGCATCTTGAGCCGCTCCGTCTGAAGCGCGACCGACTTCAGGAGCGACCCCAAGCTCAATACCAGCACCTACTGCTACGAGTCCAGCAGTTTCTCCGTCAACTAAAAAGACGCCAAGGCTTCCTGTCGACGCAGTCCTAGGGATTGTATTTGGTCTGATTGGTATTGGGGGAGCTATGTTAGGTCTCTTTGTCTGGAGGATACGCAGGAGAAGACTGATGCTGTCAGGAGAGTGAGCAGATCTAGGCAGGAATCATGTTCCATTGCCTCAAAGTCTCGATGCTAGCTGTCCTTTGCTACACTCATTCTAAGCAATGCACTCACTTCCACTTCTCCATGCGCTCCGTAGCCCATTCTCCCCCAACGTGCATCAACTCGTAACACTCATCACTCTATCTATCCACTCTGCTCTTCAATCTTCGTCATCGTCGTCTGCAGCAATGCAGACAGCGATGCCTCCAACGTCCCATACGCTTCGTTTTGCAAATCATGCCTCTCGACCTCTTTTCCGCGCGTAATCTTGACCATGGCACGGAACTTCACACCCGCAGGGCTTGGCTGGCACAAAGCATCGACCTCGATGAGGTGTTCGCCAGCGTTGTATAGATGCTTTGCATATCCTTAACATTGCATCACGTTAGCCTATGTGATGCATGCTCAAAGTGCAGGACAGGGTGACGTTATTGGATTGAACCGACCTGAGATCTGACGCGTCATGGAGGCGTTGGCGCCACTACTTGGGTTGTTATGGGGATCGTTCTCCATGGCGTCGGCCTATTCATGGCGTGTTTCAGCAAGTCATCTGCGAAACACATTGAAGCAATTTGAGGAGACTCACCGGCTTGGAAGCGCAGCATGCTCTCATAATCTTGTTTGAACCACATGCGCATGGCCGACGGCCGCAGCATTCCATTAAACGTTCTTTGGAGCCGCAAGGGCACGGGAGAGTCGTGTCAAACCAGTAGCTAGGCATTTTGGTGCAGGTGGACATCTTGCTTTGCGCTGAATCTTGTAAAGAGCTGTTGTGATAACGTGAAAACCGGGTGCGAAGAGTGGAGACTTGTATCTTTGCCAAAGTAGCGAGGAGCGGTGAAGATACCATGTGCAGGCTTCAAGTATTGACGTGTCTACCCGCAATCTGTTTGGTCTTTCGAGGTGTGCAGCCGAGACTTTCTCCAGTGAGCATAACACGCGCGGCCATGCCGACGTCACCGTGCTGTGACAAACTTAAAGGGGATTATAGAAGTGCAGGTCTGGAGAGCGTCCTGATGCATGAATCTAGATCGTTTGACTCCGACCTCGCCGCCTCTTTGCATTTTGAAGCTCTATATCCTTTAGAATCTCGAGACACAGGTGTTGAAGAATCCTAAAGTTCAAGGCTGGGTGTCTGGAAGTTGCTCGGTTTGTGACGATGACAGTGGGTGTAGCCGTCCAGCACGAGAGATGGAAAATGAAGCAAAAGAATGTCGCAGTCTGTTGGCTCTAGGAAACCCCAGGGTCATGGGTCTTAAACGACTACCTCTTGTCTTGGGGGCTTGTATCAGGTGAAAGTAATCTTCTGTCTGGTCAGATCCCTAAAGACATCATCAAGGGCCTGTCTCTTCCTTTTCCTGCTTTCGTCCTCATCTTCATCAACCTGCTCGGCCTCATCTTTTTCAAGCTGGATATCCGCCTTCGTCCTGGGCTTCCATGCCCTAATGAGACCATCTGAATGCGCAGAATACACTTCGACATTGCCATTTCTCCAACCAAGCGAAGTGACTCTATTCCTGATGTTTCGTTTTCCAGCGCTTCCACTAGCCTGAGCGACAGCTACACCAGGAGCCCGCAGTCGGTTAAGCAGCGTGCCCTCGAACAAATCGAACATCAATATTTCCTTCTCGTTCGGGTATAGCATGACCTGGGAGCCCGAGACTTGCCTAGGTGCGAGTAATGGCAATAGGGTAGAAAGATGGGTGTTCTTGATGATTGGACCAAAGTGCGACAGAGCATTGGCGCCAACTCCTACATCCCAGACCCGTACACGTTCATCATGACCAGCAGTGACAATGTGCCGCCCATCCTCTGTCCAGACTACACCGTTGCAAGCCCCGATATGTGCTTTGCCATGGTTTCGGGTACGGGCATTTTTACCCCTTCCATCTTCACCGCCAACTCCAACAGAGTCGTCCATATCCAGGACTCCTAAACTTCCAGCACTCCTTCGAATATCCCATAGCCTGACTGTTCCGTCTGAGCCACCACTGGCCAGGATGTATTCATCATGCGGGCTCCATGCTACCGAGAGTACTGCACCTTGATGACCGGCGAGCGAGTGCGCACTAGCACCCGATCTGAGATCCACCAGTCTGACAGCAGGATGCTGCGTCGCGCACGCCACTAGGAGATGATCCGCAATGGGGGACAAGGCATGAGAATAGACGACTAAGTTGAGATCGAAGGACGCAGACGGAGTGAGTGTCTCTGTTGCATAAATCTTCAAGGTGTGGTCGTAGGAGGTGGAGAGAAAGGCCAGCGAATCGAATGGGTAGAAGGAGAGATGTGTGATGCCGAATTTATGAGCGGAAGACGTTTTGCTCGCTTTCACGCTAGGATTGTAAGTGCAGCGATTGAGTGAACACTCAGCGCTCTCGAGATCCCATAGAATAATTGAGGATTCGGCGCCTCCTGAGAGCATGCTTGAAACCCCAATTAGCCCTCGTGATCCTATTTCTCTCGATCCTTGAGACTTACTACCGTCCCTCGAACCTGTCAACAGCAAGACAGTTAACGCCAGCTTTGTGCGCCCATACTTCACCCAGCTCATCTTCCTCGTCCCCATGTTGTTGCGCTTTGGTCAGCGCCGCTCCAGTGCTGCCGTCAAATCTTATACCGGGGGCCGCTTGTAGAGAGTTCAGGAGGCGCGATGTTTGGGCCTTTTGCACCGCATGAGGACTGATAGATCCCAGCGCACGACCGAAGAGATTGGACGTCATGCATCACGTTTCTCAAAGGATTGGACATAGCAGATGGCTGCTTTTGGAGTGGAACAAGGCTCTTCGCGCTTGGCGGGAAACGCGTCTCTCTCTTGACTTTGACTTTGAGAGCTTCCCAGTTTCCATCGTCAATACAAGATGTAGAGCTGAAGCCCCCGCAGTACAACTCTGATCAGTGCGATAGACCCTAGGCTCACCAGAAAATGCCGAGGATCTCCACAAAGACCACTCACTTGAAAAGGCCATGGCGAAGACCCAGAACCACAAGAAGACAAAGCGCCAGGCTACCCTTTATGACGCTGTAGCTGGCACGTAACCTCACCATTTCCACTTTCCGAGCGCCCTCCTCTAATAAGTCACCCATAGGTCGCGTATCTTCAACCGGCTTCATTCCTCCAACCCCACGTGTCTCCGCATATCGCGACACCCCGTCCTCCAGCACCGTCGCCGTCCCACCAGAAGAAGTGCTCTTTCGCCGCAAAGGAGCTCCTATACGATACGAGGAAGATGACGTCTACTGGGCTGATAGACATTTGTCCGACAAACAAAAATTACCGGAGTCGGACTTGCTGAAGGCTATACACGCATACGCAGCTGATTTCTACGGGCGGGCGGTGAAAGGGAGGGGTATGGTTGACTTTGAGAGTTTGGATGAGACGGCGCTTTTGGCGGTGGGCGTGTTATTGGAGGAGAAGGCAGGCGAGGCTTTGGGGGAGACGGGAGATTTGGCTTTTGTCGAGGGGGAAGATGATGAGGCCCAGTGGGCTGAGGAAGGGGCCCTTCCAGAGGAGGTCACGTCCAGTGGAGAGGATCATCGAGAGTCTACAGCTGCAGCGTCGGAGGTCACATCAGAGGCAGCGACATCGGACAAGGGGAACAACGATAAAGATAAGAGAAGGCACAAACGGAGAAAGACGAGGCATGACCATGACAGAAATGGGTAACCTGAGCATGTCGGTAGTACGCTGTGGACGTTATCACCATTCTCACCTGAGACTTGGGTAACCTGAGTCTGCGAACTTACACCTTCCCATGTCTCGAACTACGCCCATGGCTCGAATAATGGCCTTGACTGAGGTCATTGCGCCGAACAAAAATGTGGCAACGCAGGTTGTATATTTTGACATATCTAGAGAAATCCTATGTGCTTTGATCATGGACGATGAAAGAGACCTCCACTCTCGAAAAGTTGTTATTGCAATATGAAGTGCCCGACGTTCTAGACGCTATGATATACGGCCTTGGAACCTACGAATCAGGCTGGAAAGTTGTTGTGGCTTTCCGTAAGTCTTGACACCAGGTGTCTTACGCCACGCTTCCGCTCCGCATATTTGAATCATGCACTAAGAACTGTCGACAGACTTCAACAAAGAAAACTTCAACAAAGAGGACTTCAACGACAAATCCACAAAGGGTGCATAATCATGACAATGGAAATTGCAAAGAATATGCTTGTTCTAAAGAATCTTTCTTTGTCGTTCTTGGTTCTCCGCGACAAAGCAAGCTCGGGACACTGCTGCTAGCAAGTCATATATTTCCTTGATTTCCATGCTGTTCCCCTTCTTCTGTACGTGCTACTACAATTCCACCACGATCATACATCACTTAAGACTGCGGCCCAAACTCCAGAATCAGCTCATCATTTCCGCAACCAAACAACACAACAAAAGACCATGCCAGCAGAGATTCTCAATCGACTCGAGGCCTCTGTACCAGAGATCGAAGCTTCTTTCGTCAACGAAAATATTGGTTCTTCCATGAAGGCCGACAGTCTGGACCCACTTGAGTCCGAATTGAGGGCTATGAAATTCATATGGAAACTGCCCATCGTCTCCATCGATTTCCTTCATGAAGACGAAAAATTCTGTGGCATGTGTGATCGCAAGTACGATGACGAATTCAGAGTTTGCGGACGTAAAGAATCCCCTTGTTGTCTGCCATGTGGTCATATAGCAGGTCACCGTACGTACATTTCGGAGCTGACTCTTCCTGTGTGGTAAAGAAATTGAGTCGCAAGAAGACCTTTCTCCCCCCGAGACCTGTCTTGCAACTCCATTTCCTACCTCGAATAAACAATGCTGACTTCGAAATCTGCGTAGAATGCCTTCGGAAATACCTTTCTCCCTACGAGTGTGGGTTCACAAAGTGTCCTTTCGTAAGTGCCCCTTCTAATTACTTCTTCCCCTTTCACGTCCTTGCTCGAGCCTCAAGACATGTCGAGGAGCAGAGACACATGTTTTGCTCCTCAAACATACCATCGGACTCGAGAAACCATTTGAGAAGAGAAATGCTGACTTCGAATGCTGCAGTGCAAGGTCGATTTCCCGCAAACGTTCACAGATCCAGTTGAGCCCACACTGGCTACTAGCGACCTTGCATGGGTGGATGTCGATGACCACGAGGTTTTAGACGAGGGGCTGAGCAGACAGGTATCGCAACTGTCAAAGGATTCCGGAGCACCAAGCGATGAAATCAAGCGGTACCTCAGCATCGATGAGGTCCTTGAGCGCTCTCGAAGCCAAACAGAGGTTAATATGGGCACAGATGTACAAGACTTCGCCACTCAAGCTACCGATCCAGCGGAGATCGGAGACGAAGAATTCCCAAAGAATCGCAAAAATGGAGGAGGTCCAAGTCTTGCACGTGCTGCTATGAAGGCTGTCGATCTGATAGCGAAGAAATTTTAGGGACCAATCTCAAATTGGACAGGAAAAAGGCATAGCTTAGCAAGCAAGAGAGCCTGGGAAGTAGACAGTCAAAACCCAAAGCATTAGTGATACACTACCATGTCTTTCAAAATGTGAACCAAAAATGTATTCAAGCACGAATTCACCTTCGCTCCTATCCATGTTGACCCATTATGATCACACTCTGATACTAATAACAACTAATCATCTCTACAAGTGTTCAAGAACCTACTTTGCGTCACCATCTGAACGCATTGTACCACTAGCCCGTTTGACCGTCAAGACCCTTTTTGCTCGCCTAAACGCCCTACTAGGATCTCCCTAAGGCTTAGATCCAGACGCGCATCAGCGGAGGGCCCAAGGAGCTTCCAATCCTAACGTCCTTCCTGGCTCTACTCATCAGCGGTACTCTATCTCTCGGGACCGTACAGCTCTCCACTTTTGGCCACCGTTGTGTGCTTTTCTGGAACCCGCAGTGCGGCGACACGGAAGTCGCGTTCGCTTCCGACATTTCTGTTGGCAAGCAGATTGGATTCGCAAATCGGGCACCGAGTGGCTTCGTAGATCGAAAGATTGGCGAAGAGACTGTTGCTGCCTAGTAGCCCGCATCTGGCACCCCTCGCCTTATCATCGTCTTTCTTGCATAGGATGTGACCGCACGCTAGCTCCACAACGTGTTCGAATTCTTCGTTTTCAACGTGCGGTGCTATGAAGAGGGGCGCGACCTTGTCGCTGCCAGTCAGCTTCTTGGTGATTGCCGTAGTCAGATAGCCGATGGACTTCACAAGAGACATGGAAGGTTTCTGCGAGCTTACCGAAGTTGTGCTTGACATGAGCATTTTTTGAATTTGGTGATTAAAAGATCTCACAGGATGTGGGTGAGCGCCGACAGAGGAAAAAGAAGACGAAAGTGAAGTGGGGATGGAAGCAACGTCCTGCTGAAAGTGTCAATGCTGCGATGCTGCAAGGTTGCCGGGCATGTGTTAAATACCCAGTGCTTTTTTCTAGCAGTGTTGCAAAGTATCATGACACAAAGAGCGTCAAGCTCGACTCTCTTTGTGGTTTTGGCCTTTTATCACAATTCATAATGGCTTTGTTCGACTTTGAATCGATGTGTTATATGTTTCTCTTTGTTTTGATTAGCACTCCCCTTGACACTTACCTGCATGCTTGACACAAATATCTATATTCCAGCACTCGAGTCTTACACCACAGCCCCAGATTTCTCAAATCATCAATCCCCGCACATAATCCCAACATGGATTCAGCTTTGATCATCACTAGCATGGACAGTCCACTCCAACATCTACGATCCATCCGAGCAGAAGATCTTTCACCCCACGAGCAGGCATGTCATGTTTGTGGGACTCCCTGGGGGTTTCCAAAAGATGCTAACGGTCCAATGGAATATCCCGTCATTCTCACATGTGGATGCATTGCTGGCTCGTTGTGTCTAGAGCGATCGTTCGAAACAAGTCCGAGATGTCCTCTGTGCAAGAATGCGATCCGGATCATTGCGGGTGTTAACGCGCCGCTCAATCACAACACGAGGGCTCACTTGCGTCAACTCGAGCTGAGAAGCGGTGTCAACGACTGGCCAATCCCATCGGTTGAGAGCCGACGAGAGATGCTGGACAGCGCCAGCATGGAGGAAGCAGAGCAAACGAAGTCTGACCTACAAGGTAAGCTGGGTGTACTGAACGGCTGTCACAGTACCTTCCTTTCCGTACGAGAGTTGGAGGTATGCATCAGCCTCGTCGACTATCGCCTTGGCACCGCCACATCAGTTGTCGATGCCCTCGACGCATTCCTTAAATGCCCGCTGTTCGATCCATCGCTCTGGGTAAAAACCGCAGAAATACGTGCATATATGGAAGGAAATTCAACAAATCCCCTTCAATTCAAGTCCAGCTGCGGAAACTTCACAGATGGAGATTTGAGAGATGTGCTTATGTTGGTCAACATGCGAGCCGGTACCTCGTTTCTTTTGGACGAGTTGGAGCTGGTGGTGTCGTTGATGAATTTCGTCCATGGCAGTGGAGTGGAACTCTTGGACGTTCTGGGATTGCGAGAAGGGGGGTTGCTTTATGTTCAGCCAGACTCGCTGGAGTTGCAACCGGTTGACGGAGAGCTGGTCAAAGTTTTCGGAACACTTGATATCCGTGTTGGTTCGAAGGACGCGGTGGAGGATTTGGGGGATGTGTTTTCCCAGGCGGCCTTATAAGGCGGTTCCTTGAGCTGAGTGCGAACTTTGCCTCTAGGTCTTCGACAACAAAAATAAAGAAAGGAGCGAGACTGGTTGGGTTGACCTTGCAGATCAAAATCCCGTTACGGGTGCAGTGTGGAGAACTCTGTAAGTCGATGAATCCTGGCTCTGCCTTAATGAAGACAAACTAGGTATTGAATGTATAGCCGCTAAGGGTGCCCTGAGACAAGACGAATTTTCCGTTCCTATGGTCGTCAAGTCAGAGTAAGACTGCACGTGACTTGGACATCTAGATCAAAATGGCTCTTATATTGAGCCCACGTCTAGCAGCGATTATAGATGTTGAAAACATTTTGCTTCACAGTTCCAAAACACCGTCTTTCACCTTGCGAGGAAGCCTGTGTTGTCATACAGCGGTTTCACCTTGAGCACTTCAAATACTTCTCTGACTTGATTGTCATTTCTACTTCCAAACTCGTCATGCCTATCACCGTCGATGGCCTCGGCTTTGGCATTCAGATGCTCTTCGGTTTTGATCGATAAGCCTAGGATTGGCTGATCAGGAGTAGCCGGTCCTGACGACACGCCGTCATTTGACATGATCGCCTGCTCCAAACATCGCACATAAGCGCAGTGCTCTCGCCTCATTTCACGAACATGAGCCACGCCAACCCCCGTAATTGAGCGTAAAGGCTCAAGTATTTTTATGAGGTTTCGAGCCACCTTTCCTTATTCCTCGAGTAGGTAGTCTTAAAGGAATACGGCTTAATGAGTATTTGTTTGATACAGCGACCCTTGACTAGAGAATCTGCAAGTCTGTCCATATGCATTTTAATTCTCTTTTCTTTGCCAGTGAAGCTTTAGGATCATTGTAGAAGTCTTACCATCTGATTTGTCGGTGTAAAATTGATTATTTGGATCGATGCGTTGCGCGCCACAGAACCCTATGCCAAGAACTCAGAAGGTTTTATACTCCTAGATACTCGTACCCACTAGTTGAAGCTCTACCAAGATAACTAAGCAGAAAATCTCTCTAGAATTTACGTGAAATCTTTTAACGCGTAGGTGTACCGTCAATTATATAGTATAGTCTTTTTGCCGTGCGGTCATTTGGCTTGCTATGACAGTCAATTGACGAGAGAGGTCTGACGCGACTTCACGTGTCATATGACAAATCCGCATCCCTAAGAAACATCCTGCTGGCGGAAATAGTCTAAGTTTCGTCCCCTCTTCAGTCCACACGCCATCCGACGTATGAGGCCGCACAGCAGTCTTCAACAGTGAATATGACTAACCAAAGTAGACGTAAACGCTCGCGTTCACAGATGGACACAGTGAGCTTGAAGAGCGGTAATAATCCTTCTAACAGTTCTGCGTCGACGACAGAGGTTCCCTTGGGAGCTCACAGTGGAATTGAGGAGTCCGACACGCCTCTCGCACCCGCCTCTCGCACCCGCCTCTCGCGCAGGTTCGAAGGCCAGCAAGGGTGCCGACGCTGGTTGTCGTCCAAAAAAGAAGGTACTATATCTCCCCTTCACTCCAGAGTAGCGCTGTGATATGCCTTGATGCTGACCTTTTTCTACCCCTCAAGGCAAAATTCGAGGCACCTTCATTCAAACCCCCTCCCTACGGAAAGAACTTCGCCGCAACACAAGCTCGGCGGGACATATACAAGGAGGTCAGTGAGAGAGTAGTGGCTATAGCTGAACATGAGGATCCTTTTATTGGCGAGGACAAGATGAAAATTGTATGGACAGAATGTGCGGAGGAATATAGCCGAAGAGCTGGCTTAGAATCAGCGAATACCCAGCTGATAACGACCGAGAAGGAGGATTTGCAGAAGGTAGATGCTCATAATTTGCAGAAGGTAGATGCTCATATCTCGAAGTACGATATCGCTTCTGACATCTCTAAGTTAATCAAACGGCAAAAGGGATCCCCGTTCTCTACTCAATCGACCAAACGAAGCAGACGCAGCGAGATATCGCTCTCCGAGTTGATAAGCTTTGTCTTGTGACCGCTACCGATCGAGACAATACAGATCGTTTACTACATCCGCTAGACCACAATGGAGTACGAGTTCCTTCGGACTCATGGTTTCATTATTTCACATTGACTTTCTGCAGGTACCTTCTTTTTTTGCAGCCAATCAAATTTTTGAATTCATCAAGTCTACCAAGGTGGGGGGCTCGAACAGCAACACACAAAGCAAAGCCTGGATAGCTAGCATTACACCGAATACCATCGCTTGGGTGTCGACCATACTTTATCGATCCCTCCTCGGCTGGATAAATGGGGCCCCCGATCGATCTCAACTGGAGAAGAGCTTTACAAAGGAACAGCATTCAGGTATGCAACTCTCATTGCATAAGAACTCTATTCTAACTCATAATATGAATAGCTATATACGAACGGCAAAAAAGCGTCTGGAAGGGTATGGGCGATAAAGAAGGGCTTGCTCGAATCGAGCAACTTCAGATAAGATTGAATCAACCCCTACTTATCGGTTATTCGAAGTTCAATCCGTACGCTTGCTGCTATGATGGCCATCAAACTTCGTCTGAGCCAGGAGAAACCCTAACGCAGAAGCCGCTTCGGAACAGTACTCCCGATGAAGAATTGCAGACCCAATCCAACGGGTTACACGAAGCCGACGGCCACGGACCTTCGTTGGATGGAGGGTTTGCACCTGTGATTGCGACTTGGGCGTGTTACATAGCAGAATATTGCAGCATTCGACCGCTCTCTTAGATGGTCATTGAATACCTACGGCTCGATCATGATCAACACCCGACCACATCAATGAAAGGTCTAATCGGTGCACAAATGTGCAGAGGCTTGCATCGAGTCTTGTTCTATCTATATAGTTATGGACGGAGAAGAGAGTCAGTGAATTAAATCCCAACTCAACAATGTTCAGAAAGCCGACTGGCCGCTATGTAGAATCCAAACTTCGTCCACCCTCAATGTGATCAAGCCTCACCATCAGGGGTAGCAATATGCACTCGCGGAGCGGAGCGGACGCCGTAACAGTCCCCAAAAGCGTTAGGATCATACTCCAGATTCCAAGTCGAAGTCGTTTGGTCGAACAGACCCACAGCACCAACGTCTTGACCAGAGCAATAGCTGCCACGCAAGGAACGCTCGATCTATTTCATTGTGCCTTCCGGTATTTGCTCCCTCCATGTCACGGACAGGACCGCCCGTGTAGACGTCTTGGCCGGGAGTTGACGGTGGTGGAGCGTCTTTCTTGCGTGACGCTGCAGCAGCTAGTGGGATTTGCGAAGGTGAAGAGGATCAGTATGGTTGAGATTGAGGGCGCATACGAGGCAGGTTCAGGTGGACACGGTAGGTTCTTTTTGCGAGCTGCGATCGATACAGTATTAGTCTCGCTGGCTAAGACATTCGTTGGCTAGAGGTTTCAGTCTTCGCCGTACTCGAGAGTACTCTATCGTGTAAAGCTTAGTATGTGAAAAGCGGCCGGTGGCTAAAGGGTCAAGCTTACTGTTCGACGATTAGTCGATACCTTAAGAGCATATACTGAAGCTTCCCGAATTTTTCACCCCTGCCGAGCTGTAACCCGGATTTTGAGTGTATATAAGATTAGGCTATCAGTCGGATGGCTAATTTTCGGTTTTCTCAAAGATTATGCAATCAGGGATACGCTAAAAGTACTCAGCCGCGATGACACAGCCACAGTCTTCAGTTGTCGTACACGATCAGCGAAATATGTACTCGCCTTCAAAACACTCTTTGGCGATCAGACAGTCACAAGGCTAGAGTACCTTCCTCCACAGCCTGATATCTCTAGCCCTTCTAAAAAGCCATTCTTGGACGTCCAGTGTTGTCATCACTCTAGATTGCACTGTTAAGACACTCGACCAGTCCAAGGTTTCTCCATTGACCTTGCCTGCGGATCCCGCCTTGCTTTCTCCCGCTTACCGCCCCATATCATTCCGTTACCCTTGAGCATGCATTCCAAAGATAACGCCTCGAGAAAAGCTCTGGTATACTGCTGCATTACAAGCAGGAGGAAAGTCTGATGATGCATCGATGGATTAATGTCCACCCCCGGCTCGACCATCAAGAGCCTTCTCATCGCGAGGGCACTTCCAGGGTCATGACTTCTCAAAAATCAGCAGCAGCACACCGCTTCGGTCAAGGTTGGATCGGTCAAGGTCGGATACATAAGAAGATGAACTGTACAATCAAACAGTGGGGCAGCCAGCTTCCTTATCACCGCCACGTCAATAACAGAAATCGCAAGCAAAGGAAAACACATTGTCACCTCGTAAAAGCGCATCTTCAGATCGACTACAAAAGGCCAACAACGAGCATTCGACAGCAAGATCAGCTTCACTGACCATCAGCGCTTCTCGACAGCCATCGCCTTTTCAAGAGGCCTCACAATTTGCAGCTGATGGGTTTTCGCACCCAACCCCAAGTAGCCTTGCTGAAAGTGGACAACAGCAAAGACTCGAAATAGATGCTCAAGTTTACAGGCAAGCGCCTCAGACTGCCGAATCCTTTGACTCTGACGGCTTTGCTTCGTGTTCAAAGTACTCTGTGTGAGAAATTGGTAACTTTTCATTGCGAAAACGGCTGTCTGTCGCAGGCGTGCCGCTAGAGAGATGTAGAAAGAAAGAAAGAAAGAAAGAAAGAAAGAAAGAAAGAAAGAAAGAAAGGAAGGAATGGAGCTCAAAGCCGTACCCCCGAACAGACCACCAGAGCGTTGCAGAAAAGGCTTAAGATTAGTCATCCGACTTTGGAGTTACCGGGCGCAATCATGAACGCTGAAATTCAGATCACGGCATTTCGTTGCTTAGATCGTTGAAGCGCATATATACTGATGGCCTCATTTTAGGAATTGAATTCCGATACTACAGAACTGTGAATTGAGTCCCCAGCTCACTCCTTTGCTTCTCTAAGCTTGACCTTCAATTCGCCCATCGTTTGCGCTATGCCGCAGTCTGTCCATTCCATGTCCGCCTCGCTTGTCCCGTGCACGGTCATCTCGAATCTGCGGAAAAGATGTCCCAGGGTGAGATATAATTCCGTGTACGCCAAGCTGTACCCGATCAGTCAGCCATTGTGCCCAGCCAGGAGGTGGTGTAAGCGAGGAGTAGAACCGGGATGCGATCGTGGGAAATCTATATGCTTCACAGACGGGAAGACTTTGAAGGGACACGGACTTTATTCCCGGACACATTCTTGAACCTCTAAGGAACGGCATCATGTTCTTCTCCAGTTCGGTGGATTCATTGTCGCCAACCAGCCAACGCTCGGGACGAAAGACCTCGGGGTCAGGGAAGACGTTCGGGTCATGATGGTAAACATGCGCGCTGCTGGAGATTATGGTCTGAGAGGACGCAATCCGTTAGCCTGAGGAGGACTTGAGGTGAGTTGGTTGAGCAGGCACTTACACCAGGCGCAATGCGCTGTCCACAGAAGACAGCTCCTGCAGAGGGAACGACACGGGGTAAGCGGCCCGGAGCCCCAGAGGATGCGCGGAGGGTTTCTTTAATGATGCCGCGCAGATACGGGAGCTTTTCCAACTCGGCCCATTCGAGCAGCATATCTTTCCTCGGCATTGCATTCCGCAGTTCCGCTTGCAGTTTCCTCAGTATGTTGGGGTCTTGCAGGACGTTGTATGTCGCGAAAGTGAGCGCGTGAGCGGTACTGTCGGTGCCTGCGATCAGTAGGAGTAGCGTATCTGCTGCGAGCTCATCGATAGTAGGCTTGATTTGTCCTTTGTCCGCATCAGGTTTGAGTGCAGTGTCGAAAATGGTAGGGAGGTGGTCTGATGATTTGGTAGGCCGAGCTTTCAATTCTAGTATGCGTTCTCGGGCTACCTTGTCCGACGTCATTTGATTGAAATAAAAAATGTGGAGCGTAGGCTCCTCACCCTCATGCACCACTTAGTGAGCGCTAAAGGCTCCATATACTTATCAAGAAACCATAACGGAAGCTTGTCTATCCACCGGAATAGCATCCTGAACGAGCTGGGGAAGTAAGCGACCCACTGCCCATACTTGACAGCCTCGCTCAAGGCCCTCGTCATCGGAAAATCAAATTCAGGTGATTCCAAGGCGCCCAGCGGCTTATGGAACGTGAAGTTCATGATCACATCTGAAGTCAGGCACCGGAAACCCTTGCTGAGATTCACGATCTCCCCTTCATCATCCGACGCCGCTGCTTGTAAGAAATCGAGGAATTTGGAAGACAGATTCTGGATAAGAGGCTCAGCACGTCGTACGGATTTTTGAGAGAAGTAGGTGCTGAAAAGGTTTCTGCGGGCCAAAGCGTCTTTGGTTTCTAGCTCTTGGAAGAATGAACCGTGGAGAGGTACGTAGCTAGTGTAGAAGGAGCGTTCCTTAGAGAACTTTGTGCCAGCTTTGAATATCCTGTTATCTCAGATCAGCGTGTGGTACCCATCATGGCAGGTTGGACTCACTGATTGTATGCATCTATATCATGAATGTGGAGCTGATTAGGCCAGGCCCGAACAATGGGTCCTATTTTGATTCAGAAAAAGCATATGGTGACACAATGGTAGATTGACCATATTTAGCATGGAAAGCTGGCAGTATCTTGACATACGGCGAACTGCTTGAGCTCAAGTCAAAGAAGGCGCCGTACAGGTTAGTGATAGCAGCCAACTTGGGTCCAGGAAAGGCAGCGAGAGGGTGAAGTGTGAGGCGGTACACGATCTTGGCCAATAGAGAGGCAACGAGTGCAGCAGCGACGAACAAAAGCGCCGAAGCAGAGAAGGCATTAAGCAGTGCCATGTTTGCCGGTCAAACTTTACCTGTGAAGGCAGAAATAATTGACGTAGCTTGAGGTGAGCAATACTAACCAGTAGGTATACGAAGATGTTTTTGGGGGATGCAACGGATGACTTGGTAGTCGTGAAGCAGAAGAGGCGCGGGTCCAGCCGAGCAGTGTGGATGCTCGTCCTCATGCAGGTCCCCGATTGACCTTCTACTTGCGGACTGCATATCTGCCCTTCCCGGAGCTCCTCCCGTGTCTCCGAGCTGGGATTTGAGCTTGACGGTCTTTCTCATGATAGTTCCCATGGTGACGATCCCAAGGCGTCGGCCAGGTGGGCCTGAAATCCCTCATGCCCTCTTGCAAGGAGATCAAAGCAAGACTCTAGTTCCTTCCATCTTGACTCGGGTACACGGATTGATGATATGTTGACTGCAGTATCCAATGATGGGCGCCTGTTCGTCCAATCGGATGTACTTAGTGAGAGACCATTTTTAGTGCTTTGGCAAAATGCAGCTGGTCGCATCGGATCAACAGTACGAATACGACAGCCTCTCTCCATCCGTTCGCAATGGGAGTCATCCATGTTATCTGCGGCTGCCAAAAGTACTTCATCTTGCAATTTACCTGAACGTCTTAGGCACTGTATGTTAGGATCAATCTCTCGCCATGCCCCAGAAGCGCAACACATGAACGACTTGATTGAAAAGCTGGATCTACTTGTTTTCCGAGTCTGTCTATGAAGAGGGTGATACGGGTGTGGAACATGTCTGGGATGGCTTCGGTCAACAATGCACAACAAGGAAAACGCTGTCTAGGAACGTGCTTAGGCTCTACTCTTCAGCAACTCCTATTCAAGGTACCTTGACTACTTCAGCTTTCCCGTCCCCAGTCACGCTTAATCAAGGTAGAGGCCTCAGGCTTTTGAGTCGGCTGTTCGCCCATTTTCGACCATTTCTCGGATGATCAGGCCAATGGATTACACATGTATTCAAAGATCTCCTGCGACAGTTTTTGATCTCAGCAATCCATAATCTGCTGCTACCCTTGTCCTCAGCGCAACATTTCAGCAGCCAAATGAAGCATTGTCAAACAGATCCTTGGAATCGAAGAAAGCGTGCAAATCAAACAACAGACGATCCTGCTGCATCTGCCTACTTGAATGCGAGACAGTTCTCTTTTAAAGTGACCTCGTTGAGGTCGAGATACGCCTTTCCTTCATCGCCAAATGGCTTCACACCAAGCAATGCCTGCCTGATCTGCCACAAGTTCTTAGGAACACCGAGTTCAGTGACGGAGAAGGAAACGATCTACCGACTTTAGCTCCCGACGCTTGCATTAACAGGGGCTCGTCTTTACAAATATCGTCTGTGCTAGGTTCGCAATGTGAGTGAGAGTATGGCGCTCAGCACAATGCATCTCGACGAGGTGTGGCACTTCGCACAGGACACAGCAAGCGGCTTGTATCGATATGACAATCCACCTCATGGGGCACTCTAGGACTTTCCATGAGATTACGAGGGTGGCAAACATCCGCGCACTTTCGGCTTTCAGGACCTATGAATAACTATCCGACCACCGCCGAGAGCTCATCGAAGATTCTTGGTCCGGTGATCTGGGCAGTGTAGACCTCTCGAGTGTTCTTGCTCCGTTGCCTGTTTTGTTCTCGACGGAAATGGAGACGGTGTCCATGAAGGGACAGGGAAGGTCAGGAGTGATCTCAAGGGCAGATCTGATGCCGTCTTCGAACGCGGCTGGAACGGAAGACGGCTTGTAAGAAGCACAGAGAAGCTGGGCCCCGGGGGTGGGTGAAGAGGGCAAATCTGGAAGGCCTGACTGAAGTCTTGATTCTCCGTATTGAAGTGGGCGTTGAGGAACATGCCGGACCATGACTGCTGATGCTGCATTCTTGCCACACGGCTTTTGTGCAGCCTCACACGTGCACATCATCGTATCGCATGGAGGGTTGAGCACCATACTCGGTATGGGTACGCTGCTCTGGGTTACGCCATCGAAGAAGTACGCGACTAATAGCTCTTCACAAGAAAGTAAGATACTGTGGCAGAACTCACGCATAGAGGGAGTCTCCAGGATCTCCAAAATCTCAACGGGCTAATTTTCAGGAAACGATGGCATTTTTAAATGCCCCTTGTTTTCCATTTGTACATATCCTTTTGGGCATCATTGGTTTGCCTATCACGGGATCTGAATAACGAGCATTGAACGCAGGAAAAACGATTCCTTATCGCAGATCCTTACAATAATGAAGGGAAAGTTTATTACAATTGTCACTTCTTCCTGGCATCAGGAGGACCTCAGAAAAATACAGTCATAAATTGCGCCTCGGTGCCCGCATCATCTCCTCTCTATGCATGGCTTTTTGTCTACCAGCTCACCTAATACAGGCTCCTCATTCCACCATCTCCCAGTGAATGCCGACGCGTCCAACCACCCCGCCTCATCGACCGTTTCCCCACCCCCCTCGCCGCCTCAAGTACAACCCACCGTCGTCGTAACCGTGGCTTGCCTCTCGCACCCATAAGCAGGACAAGCCGAAACCGTCGTCGTCGGAACGGACGCTGGGCACGAGCAGGGTACCGTGGCGGTGGAGGTGATAGTCATATCCCACTGTGCCAGTGGGCACGCCTGTCTTTTCCTTTTATCGCTCACCGGGCATACGAAGTCGGGCGGCACGATCGAGGTGTATGTGGGGCATGTGGGCCCGCGTGATGCGGTGGCGGTACCGGTTGAGGTTGTGAGGGTGGCGAAGGTCGAGATCGAGGGGGTGTGTTTGTGGTGTCTGGCGAGGGAGAGGGGAAGGGCGCTGGTGGGGGGGATTGTCAGTTTGGGGTTTGGGTGTTTGTGAAGGCGATTTGAGGTCGGATGATGGAAGAAATAGACAGGGAGACCAGAAAGGTACATATGAGTACCCAAAGAGCATGTGCGGTATTTGAGTTGAGGATGCACGTGCGCTGTACATGAGTCGCCAAAGGAATCTTGTTGGGCTTACCTCAGGACGAGCAATGCGATCTGTAGGACCAACATGATTGTAAAGAGGTAAATGCAGTTACAGCCCAGCTGATATAATTGAGGGTTCGGTTGGAAGATGCACTGGTGGCCGGCAAGAAGAGTAAGTGTTCACCCCAAACTTCTTCAAGTCTCTCGTCGAAGCAAGGGCAGACATCCAGCCTTTGTATCCATTCATTGTGACGTGAAATTAGAGTACTTCCCCTGTTTCAAAGTGCGAGGGGTGTTGGAGGACGGGTTGCGGCTACGCCGCTGTCTCAGATTTGGTACGACTCGTACAATCCAGAAGTGAGTTCTTTGATAGAGCGAGGACACCAGTAAATCCTTCCACTTAGCCGAATTCCGGTTGAACTATTGGTGTCCTCACTTTATCAAAGAACTCACTTCTGGATTATACGAGTACCTTATGTTAACAGTCTGTTGGAGTTCAGCGGCTTCGCAATTCCAACACTCCGTTACTTACAATGATGGTCTTGGCTGCGACTGTATTTAATTGATTGAAATCGTTGGCTTTAACTTGGAGCAATACGTACTAAGAATGTGTTTCTCTCCCTGAATTTCGCTAGGGCGCACAAAAGATTGACTGTTGCAAGGGGTCGCAATTTTGTCGCCGTGTATACTGCAGTGAACATGAGGCAACAAGTAAAAAAGATATTGAAGCAACTCGAGCGATGACTACTCGAAAGCAAGGGAAAAATAGTCGGGATTACTCAACTTGGTCCGCCAAACCGCTTCACAGCTTACCCGTACTTTCCAATTCGGCCAACTCGTTGCCTCCTCAGCCATCAGCCCAGACATCCTGTTCAGTTCTGAATGATCTAATCTCCAGATTTCTCAACTTCTTCGCATCTGCCAGGTCTCGCTCGAGCAGAGCGAGATAGCTGTCGACCGTTCCTTGAGCGCGACCCTGGATCTGTCTATTCGCCTGGGCTGCCTCATAGTCAATCATCTTGCCTCGGATCAACTCTACCATGGCGTCATACTTGGCATCGATCATGGCTTCCTCCTCGCGGAAGCACGAGACGCAGAGAGATGGAGCGTCGACTTGCTTGAAGCAGACGGGAATGAGCATGCACGTTCTCGCTCCGAAATCCTCACAGAACTCGACAATCTCTAACTTCTTATCATGTCCACACTCGGCGTACACGTAGTAGATAGCGTAACACATGATGTTCTAGTGTTTGAATTGAGAGGCTGTTTGCTTATCTGTTTATCCTGGAAACTTGGGGGCCGATTGAGGATGTTGATATGTTTTGTGGTCGTGAGTCGATGACTAGATAACTGAAAGACAGTCAACGGCTTACGTAGAGTATGTATCAGTCATTGATGATTGTTCTTCGACAATGAAGTATGGAAGCAACCTAAAAGAGAGAGAAAGCACACAAAGAGGCAATCAAAGGGGCATACAAACAGACTAGAAGGCGGATTGTTGATAGATAATGCCATTGTTGTGTCACTGGCCGATTCTGCTCGAGTACAATTACCTTCTTTGGTATTGTCGTGAAATTTTGAGAATGTGTCATGGCTTAGAGCTGGCCAGATCATTCATATTCCGTGGGAACTGCTCATCTTTCCTTACACAATCACACATCCATCCCAAACCTTTCGCCGAGCCAGATATTCCGCCTGGACGTCAATCAATAGAAACTAACCTTGCCCCTACCCACCGGGATCAACCTGACATCAAAACTTTCGAATATTCGCTACCTGTATACGATGATGCCGACAGCACTATCGAGGGCTATGGCGCTCAAGAAGGCCGGCACACTCCCTACCATTGGATCGGTGCTGGTTAGTGCCGGTTCCGGTTTTGACGAATGCGAGCTCTGTGGTAATTTTTTCGAAATCAGCGAGTCTTCCAGATCGACTCCGATCAAAGTTCCTTGTGTCGATACTCAATGTGAGCCCTGTGCTAGGATGTGGCATATCCTAAGCTCACCAACATGTCTAGCATGCTATGCACACTTTACGTGCCCTAAACTCTCCGGAGACCGGGCCCAGATATCTTCGCCACAGCTTGATCTTGATGCAAACGACACAATTCAGTGGCAGTCACTTGCAGATTCGCAGATAGAGTCCCCTCTCGACTTCCAAGACAGGTATGTTGCATTCTATGGTGCTGATACTAAATCGGACGACGATACCATCTTAGATACAGGAAGTCCTATGAGAGAAGAAGACGATGAAACCACAGCCACGAGCGAGCTTAGCGATGAAGATCTGCGAGAGGCGCTCATCTTGGCCAATAACCGTATCGGCACAAACTTCAACATCCAAGAGATCGAAGATGATATCCCTCTGGCGGTCTTGCGCAGAGGTACCAAAACCCAGCTCGCAGATATATTGACGCAGTTGTGTACTGGGAAGGCGTCCGAGAGCGATGAGGACAATGGAAGAGAGGTAAGCTCTCAGCAGCTTAACGAGCTTAACGAGGATGACTCCAGTGATACAACGTCCCGGCAGAATGGAGACGCAGCTCTACATATTTCATTCTACTGTCTTGACTGCCATCAAGTCTTCGAAAGCGCAGGCCATCTACGACAACATATGGTCGTTCACACCATCAACCACCACATGTGCTCAATATGCGGCAAAATTCTCGGGAATCGAATTAGTCGCCGAATTCATGAGCAAAAGCATTGGGAAACTGATAGCCAGCGAGATGAGAGACTTCAAAAGGCGAAGGTAGCGAGAGATAAATCGCGGGCCAGTCAAAAAGAAAAGAAGAGGCGATTTGACAGAGTTCCCCAGGTCTTGGAATAGGTCAAGGAGCCGAACGAGCCGGAGTAGCGTTCTTAGGCGTTTTGCACTTTTGTTTCCCTTGTTGATCTTTGTGTGGTCGAGGTCTGTCTTTGATTAGCTATTAATGGGCGGTAGCGGAGTTGACGTGCACTAAAACGAACTTGTTTGCACCTGTTTTGATAGAACGAAGATAGATAGCGACAACCCATCCTCTTGAAAGTCCAACAATTCATGAATGATTCTGTGCCATAGTGCTCGATTGAAGTAGTTAGGAGAGAGTGATGGCAGCAATGTGATCGCGAATTCGGTACCGAGTAGTAGGAATGCTTGGCGGCACCCGCGAAAATAGGTTCGACAGGTTCTCAACCACAAAATGATACTTCAATCACTCACAGCTACCGCGAGTCGATCCTGGTTGATTTATCACACTCTCTCAAATGGTAACCAACCTCTTCTCTCGCCTCTCGCATTCAACTAACATTCCCCCTCACTGCAGGCACCAAAAACCCTCCCACCCATTGCCAAACAAAATCTCATCCTCACCTACTTGCACAACTCTCGCACGGCCCACTCGATCAAAGAGCTCGAGAAAGCTCTCCCGTCTGTCGCCTCCATCAATGGCATGCAAGTCAAAGACTACCTCCAAGCCCTAAGCGACGAAGGCAAGATCCGAGTAGAGAAAATTGGCAGTGGGAACTGGTACTGGAGCTTCCTATCCGAGGAGAAAAAAAGCCGTGACAATGTGTTGGGGATGCTGAAAGAAGAATTGGCGAAGGTCGAGGCTTCGCTGGGGGAGTTGGAAGAGAAGCTTAGGGAGGCGAGTGAGAAGAGGGGGAGGATGATGAGGGTAGGGGGAATTAGTCAGTGCAAAGCTGGAGTTGGACGGGGAGGTTGGAGTATTGAGGAAAGAATTGGAGGGTTACAAGGATGGTGATCCCAGAGAGGTGGAGACGAGGCGAAAAGAAATCAAGGCCTTACATGCTAGGGCGGAGTTGTGGACGGATAACATTGGAGTACTGGAGGGTTATATGTTGAATTTGATGGGTGGGGATAAAGAGAAGTTGGTTGGGATGAAGAGCGAGCTTTACGGAGACGAGTACGTCGAAGGAGAGGGACTGAAGGAACTATAGACTTGCTCGAAGATGAGCAGACTTGCTCTGTGGCTCTTCTACACCACAGACTGCATGAGTATTTGCAAGATGTGGTTGTACCGTTGGGGGCGCTTTCTCCGATCGCGGCGGCGTCGCAATTCCTTCCCTTTTAGCTCGGCCGTATCCTTGCGGAAACCAACCAATCATCTTTCTCTGCCTCTCAGCATCCTCTTTCTCCCCATGACAGTCCTTCCTACAATAACAAACCGAAAGATTGAAATGTGGATTAAGAAAGATCGCCTTGCCAACTCAGCCAAGAGGGAATAGAAAAGCTAGGACCGTCAAGAACAGACTCATCGTTTGACCGTCTAGGAAGCCTGAGTGGCTCTGGCACTGCAAAGAGGCTATGTGTACAATGCGCAGCCAAAACAGTCGTGGAAGCCCATTGAGCCTGATTGGATCACAGATCAGTATGATGTCCTAGGCTTCAGGGTCTAATATATAACTCACGGAAGCTCCTCCGACTACTATCCGGCTATTCTTCCCTCAGAGTTAGAGATTGGGCAAATTTTGTCTTGATTCTATGTTACCTATACCCTTCACTGTTGCTCATTTATTGAGGCTGTCCCTCTATCTGGCGCCCTTAATACAGCCTCGAGGCGTCTCCAAGCCTTACTCTCATCTTACCCCTCTTCTGTGCATGCATGATGCATGCACAGCCTCGACACGACGCAGTGAGCATTATTCATGGTCCAAACACTGAGAAGCGGTCGAAGTTATAGGTAAGCTGAGTAAGTCCCATTGCGCTGGAAACGGCGCAGAGAGATAAGATTGACATTTGGGGCCATGCTGCATGCAAAGATGTCAGACTAGCAGTTCCAGTATGATAAAGGTCATTGGACAACGATTCAGCTGATCGCAGACACAGAAAGATCTCGCGGATGCTGAAACCCGGAAGCAGTACCCATCAGAACCTAGAGTTGAGGCGTTGAAATTCACGACTCTATAAATAGATGCGTCGATATTCGCTTCCTTCTGGTAACCAGTCTATCTCTCCTAGATCTCAGCCAGGGTCTGTTTTGCACATGCAATACGTTGTACCTTCTCTTTTTCTCACACTGCCATTTTTGACTGCAGCGTGATTCGCCAAATAGAACTCCGAGAGAACAACATCTGCGTCGGTTTTGGACTGCCTTCAGTGAGAGCACGTCTTGATCAACAGTTACACCTTCAGGGTCTCCACCATGGACAGAATCCCTCAGCCTGGATTGGAAGTCACGTCGCATGACGGTCCAGAGATTGTTCTTCAGCCTGACGGGAACAAATACTACACTGGCTCGAGTGGATTGAACGAATTTGCGTTGAGCCAGCCGGATAAACCAATCCACCCAGTCTCCAAAACCAGCCGTAACAAAGCTTTCTGGGCGCTTGCTGTGATCGCTATTGTATGTCTGGCTGTAGCACTAGGTGCAGGACTTGGTGCAGGTCTATCAACCAAACGCAAATCCAGCACATCGAGGTAAGCCGATCTTCGATGAAATATCGTGACATGTAATTTGACTTCATTGTGCTGAGACTCCCAATTTGCGTAGTAGTCCTATCATTACAGTCACACAATCCGGCAACATTTTCACAGCGACCCAAGCGCCGGCGATTACATCCACCGCACCCTCAACCTCAACCACAACGTCACCAGTCTGCCCCGCCGCCAATGGATCCAGTTACATCGCGACCAACAAACCCTCCTCGAGTCTTGGTCCAGAATACGTGATATCCGACACATCCCTGACGTATCAGATCTTGTGCAATACCAACTTCCGAACAAACAACATCACCGCGGCCGTAGACATACAGATCATAAACAATGTAACCTCGCTCAAAGAATGCTTGGACGCTTGTGCTTTGTATAGCTTCCAGACTCCGCCCAACAACTTCCCCGCTCTTGGCTGCTCCGGTGCCGTGTGGAACCACAACACTGTTGTGCCTGACTGTTGGCTAAAGAGGAATCTTATCCTGTCGGAGAGTGATGTTGAGCCTGGCAAAGAGGCGGCGGTCTTACTCTCTGGTTGACCTTTGCGCTTCAGCGTTTTGATGTCATGAGAGCAAGAACGAGCTTGACGGATCATGGGCGAGCAGATGGGGGTTTGAATTTTGAGGCAGATTTGTGTCTTTTGGATTGAATCGTTGTGAGTGCATCAGTAAGCTGTAATCTACAGATCGTTTTGGCAAGAATATCGCATCCCGATAGATCAACTTCTTGTATCCGCCATTTTCTCACGGTCTACAATCCATGGCCAGAATGCAGACTTTCCACTCTCGGCCTCAAGGGCATCCGTACCTAGTCATAATCCGTGTTCTACTTCCCTAAAGTCCCACTTATCAGGCTGGGGCTGGGGTCCCGAAGGTCTGCACTGGCGGTACTCCATGTCACGGTACAACAGAGATATATTCACAAGAACTACAAATGTTCGTGGGACAATACGTGAACGTTCAGTGTCTCTCGACTCCCATCTCAATGCACAAACCGGCAGCGGACCGCACGCAAAATAACGCGAGAACCTTCGAACATTCCACAAAAGAAGTCGCTGTCCTTGACAACCAGAAATCCATCAAATCTTGCAACACCGAGCTTCCGTCCAGACACCCCCGAAAAGACCATCGAACACGCTGCGACGACAAGTAAGTGTTTTGTCCTTCACTTGATATCCATCATATGTACGCGCCTTAATCCCGATCGCAGCTGCCTGGCGTAGCCTCGCCGAGAGCTATAAGATTGGCAGAGATCGCTGTGATCCTCCCTCCGGGGCTTAACCCCAACGCGGATCGCTGACCTGCCCTCTCAACATTTCCCCTTGCTCGTCCATGCCAAATTCCTCGTCTCCGTGCATCAACGGCCTTGGACAACAAGTTAAACAGATGGTGTGGCCTTTTCCCGCAGGTTTGGCAGGCATCTGCATGTGATACATCGACCGGCGGTCTACCATGCTCAAAAGGTATTCCGAATTGATCATCATGGTAGGGATCATTATAAGCGTGGTAGTCGATGAAGCCGTCGCGGTCGGAGCTGACAAGAGCGTAAGCGTGCTAAACCGCTTGTCAGTGAGCTTATCATTAGAACATTTGCTGCTTGTTGAACAGGCACTGACCACGAGCTCATGGAACATAGTCTCCCACATCTGCAAACGCGGGTCTGGTGCGTTGAAGATCTTGTCCGAGTTCAACCAGACTTTGCACCGCTGCTCTCCCTCGTTTTCGTCTGGCTGAAGGGGTTGGCAAAGCCCCGTGAAACCTTTCTCAGGGTTCTGGCCGTCGCATACTCTCTCCAATATCTCCCTTTCAGTCGCCCACATAACTATGACATTTCCTTTCAGACGGCCGTCGAAGAAGGCGATGTCCAAATCAGCGAGCGCTTTGATCACGAGACTAGGGTCCCATTTCGGGTGGCGTGCTGCCGCATCAAGCCTATTGAGGGCCTTTTTTTGAGCTGTATGCAGGTGCTCTAGTGGTGTTAGAAAATCGACCAAGAGTTGTGTTGCTTGGGCTTTGGTGAGCTGTGCGCGAGCTACGGTTCGGAACTCTTGGTAGTCGTTCAAGTCGCCGTGTGGGTGGTCATATTGAGCGCCTATATCCCATGAGACTGGCTCTTTGGTCTGTTCTCTGAGGCGCTGACGAGCGCTGTCATTGAGATAGCGCGCCGCAGTGTCCAAAACTGCGCGGGACATGGTCAGGTAGTTGAGCACTAGGATTGTTAGGGAAGATGGAAGCAGAAGGAAAGTTACTTGAAGGATTGCGCGAGCTGAGGCTTTATTTGTACATTTGAAGCAACAAAGAAAACAATACAGAGATTTCTAAGGGCCGGTTGAATGCATGGAGCGAAAGAGCCAGTCAAACAAGAGCGTTGGCATAGGCTCCAGAAAAAAGAGCATATCAAGTTCAGACAATCATGGTTGTGCCACGAAAGAAAAGTTTCTAAGACAATATAACAGTTACTCTAAGGCACTACTACTCGCACAAAGATACAGTCTTGAGGGCTGTAGCCCAAATTATCACATTCTATTTCGATCAAGATGGACATGAAACGAGACGGTCGGAAATTTTGCACTATGCAAGAGATCCATGCTCGAGAGGGCCAAAGACGAGTCTAGTCGGTGGGACGAAAAGAGAATGGGCGCTGCATGATAGAGCAAGGTGTCCGGAGCGGCGAAAAGATTATTTGGATGGGACATGGAGAGGGTAGAGACGGAACAGTCTTTCGAAAAGCGGAGCCTGGAAACAGGAAAGCTTGGAGAAACAGCGGAGTGAAGGAGTTGCCAACGGACAAACATTGAGAGGAAAAGATAACAGAAGTAACGTGCGGACCTCTCTATGACGAATCACCAGTCTACCCTGTAAGCCATTTCCTCGTCGGGCAAGATAGGAATATCGATCGAAGAGTTGAAGACACTCAATGTCACTGCAAAACGCCATTGAAAAATTTGCTCGCCCTGCAACTCGAGCACAAAGCAGCGGAATAAGAGAGGCGGAAAGTGTTTAACGATGGAGTTGCGTGCTTTGTATGATCGAGAGCCAGGGGTTCACCACAGCAAGGGAGCGAGGTTCAATAAGAGCGCTAGAGGAAAGAGCGACGGAGCGTGTGATCCGACACGCCAAGTCTTATCACGTGACGATACGTGGGCCCTAGTCTCAGGTTGAGATAAACGCACAAGAGACTTTGAGACAGCAGAGAGGGAGATCGCCAGTATGCGCGATGTATGGGGGCGCGCAAAGGATCATGCCGCAGGAGGAGGCTGCAGTCGAAAACACGGACTCGTGCCCTGGAGAGAGAAGATGGTCGCGGCTGCTAAACTTGCTGGGTTGGAGATACGGGAGCAGAAGTGCCAGGAAAGGTTGATGAAGAAGCCGGAGGACATGGAACGCCTGGAGATGGATCAAACAAACGAGAAAGTAAGTTTCGCTATAGCTGTTGTACGTGATCGTCATCTCCTCCTCGACCTTTTTGACAACCTCTGCTTCCTTAGCTCTCTACTGCGCACCCTCCCTCCCGAACAGCAGATTCCCATCATGGTTGTCGAGATGGATGAGTGTCATTTGGTGCAGAATACTTGAAGTCGGCGGAAGTTCATGCCATATCATAGAATGCAACGGCTTTCAGTGAGTAGGTGGGTTTCTCAGACCCTTTGAAAGGAATATAGTGTAGAAATATGTAGACAACTGGATTCACGAGCGCAGGGATAGATACTAACAACAATCAAAGACTCAAATCCGAGGAGATCATGGCTCAGTCGCATCGTTCTCAAGCCTGCAAGGCCAAGAAGCCCTGACTTCGACGGCGACCTTTTCTCAATCTTCATGTTTCGTGAGCTCATGGAGGTCTGAAGAGATGGGCTTCAAGCCTGAGACGTTCGCGACAATGAAAAAGACCAGTGTCTGTTGTGCGAATGAGTTCCCTTCAATGCAGCGATGCAATAAAGCGTAATACACACTTTCAATCCAAAACGTCCAAACCCTACCGTAATTTCTGAAAACGCTTACACATAGAAACGCACTACCAGCAATCATAAAAAGCGGTCGCATTTCCGGCGAAGGTAATGAAAGGGGAGCCGATACACTGGAATGTGAAAGGGACGCGCGCAGAAAAATGGTGATCTTTGCCTTTGTTCTCTCTGCTTGCAGCCGAAGGACAAAGCGTTTAGAATCTGCCAGAATGAGACCTCACCATAAAATCAGCATGGAACGCTTCAGTTTCGATTATCAAAGTTGCACTCTTTCAAGACCAAACATTGCCGCTTTTCGCCGTTGGGGTTGCACCATCTGCCTCGATGCCTGTCGAGACGCGTGCCATGAAAAGGGCGCGAGAGGCGCAGGGGGGTGGCCCGACCGCAGCGACGACGACGACTACCGCGCCGCGGACTCCACGGAGGAAAGCAACAGGGATGAAAGGCGGGAAAGGGGCGAAGAGCAAGGGCGAAGTAAAAAACAAAAAGGTTGTGGGTAGGGTGCAAAAAAGTACTAAGACTAAGAAAGGTGGGACTAAAGCGGTCCGCAAAACCAAGCAGAAAGCCAAGGGCAAAAAAGTGGCTGATGAGGATGAGAAAGAGGAGAGAGCCAGAGCCAGAGCCAGAGCCAGAGCCAGAGCCAGAGCCAGAGCCAGAGCCAGAGCCAGAGCCAGAGCCAGAGCCAGAGCCGGAGCCGGAGCCGGAGCCAGAGCCGGTCAGCACAGGGAAGGGCAAGGGAAAGGGTGAAGCCAAAGGGAGCAAAGGTGTAGATAAGGTGCGAAAAAGCACCTCGCGCAAGGAACGCGGAATACAAGCCGTCCGGAAAGCGAAACAAAAGGCCAAAGGCGAAAAAGTGGCCGACGCTGAACTGGAAGATCAGAAGCCAATCGATGAGGGGGCAGGAAAAGGCAAGGAAGTAGCAGCGGTCAATGCCGACAAGGCCGAGGAGAAGCAGGTACAAGCGGCCGGCCAAGGGGAAGGAAAAGAGAAAGCCATAGCAGCGGACGAGGGAAAGGGTGAACAAACCCTGCAACGGTTCACCCGCGCAGACCTCCAAGAAGCAGGGGCCCTAGAGTCCGACTCTGTCAAACCGCCGACTCTGACCAACGCCATCCATCCCATCTGGGCACCCGAAAAGTTCCGCTTCGCCGGCGGCACCGACGCGACCGCACGGGCCGAAGCCTACGCCGCCGTTGCTCCCGCTCTGCGGCTCGCGTCGCTCTGGATCGAGCGGGCGCGGTACGGGGACTTTTGGGCCACCATGTGGAGCGGCAGGCTGATGCGGATCTCTCGGCCGAGGGGAGGTGAGGCCGAGGGCCTTGCGGAGGATGATCCGGGAGAGGGTTTGACATCGGAGGGGTTTCGGGATCTCGCCAGTCTGGAGGGGTTTCGGTGCGAATGGCGGTTCGGGCCTCAAGCCTTGGGGACGTGGGCGAAGACGGAGGAGGGGATCGGTGGCGTTTCGGGATGCGTGACCACCCTCCACGACGACTTTGAGTGGCTGGCCCGCTTTCCGCAACCCGGTTCGACCGTATCTGAACGTCTGAGGGGTTCTTTTTTCCTGGCAGTTAACCTGGTTCGCGAACTGGTCCAGCAGGTCTGTCGGTTCAAACATAGAGATCAGTATGGCGAAAATGTTGGCCCACTGGCTAGGTCTTCGGTGTTCTATCAGCCTCCCGAGGGTGTTGGATTTCCGCTGGACGTGGCATGGGAGAATTTCATGTTCGAAGGGCCGATTCATCAAATCAACTCGCCTATGGGTCCGATGGCTCCTGATGGCCTAGCTGTCCGTCATTCCAGATCACAGACCGACCCTACGAGGGTCTACATGCCCGTGCGAGTGGACTGGATCAGCGAACAGTTTTCAGTGGGCTTTTGGTCAGCCGATGATGTCGATGAAGACGACATATTGCCCGGGCTGCCCAATGGGTCGAATGTTTATGCAAAGGAGTTGGTCATTGATTAAGCGCACAAGTCTCAGGAGGAAAATGATGTAGGAGACATGGACTGACGTTGTACTGGAATCGGCGTTCTGTGCTTCATTGCTCTCGAATTCATATATATTTCGAGTCATCTCACTTCGAACATCACTATGGTGACACATCATTTGTCACTCCATATTGTTAGATTTCTATACCAGCCCTTGTCCAGCTTTCCGTAGAACTCCAACCATGATCAATTGCACATTTAGCCCAGCAAGCTTTTTCGAACAGCGCGCTGGCCACTCGCGGAAAAACACTTAGCAAGTCGTACACTAGGAAAGCATCGTTGCGTAAACATGGCCGGATCTCGCGACAACACACATTTTGCGAATAACACGTTCATCGCGGTTTGTTTTGCACAACACCCAGTATCTTCATTGTATACTTATCACCTGTTCCTTCGATGGAACCAAACATCAAATCCAACCACTCACTCACAGGATGCACTATCCAACAGCACCAGACAACCCACCATCAGTCCACCATCCGATTTACAGATTACCGCCCACCATGGACTTACCAGATAACACGTCGACAACATCCTCTTCGTCTTCGTCACGTAGCACAGTGTCCGATGTGGCAGAGTCGTTGAGCTCGGTGGCTTTACTCCATCCCAATAATGAGCAAAAGACCATGACAGGGTTTCCACCGGAAATCATCCTTCAAATTTACCGGCATCTCAACAGCGCTTCCGACATCACAGCACTAAACAGTACATCAAGGAGGTATAACTCGATCTGGCGGATAAATGCGGCGTCAATCTCCGCTGCAGTCCTCTCTCGAAGCATCGACTGCTACAACAGCGCGTTCGAGCTGTTCGAGATTGAGGAGCGTGTAAAACAGATCTACTGCATCATACTCCCTCAGTCCGCAGTTCTGAAGCGTCTGCGCCTAGCACAGAAACAAGCGCAAGACGTCGTCCGGCAAGGTCGCCGCAATGATCGCTGCGATCACACCTCGAGTGGTATTCTCTATCGTGGAGTCCTCTACCGCAACGAGGAGCTGCTCTCTGCGGCCAGGTGTGCGTCCTATCTGTCTAGGCTGATTGAGGATCGAGTGGTGTATACTGGCGGAACATCACTGGATGAGTTGGACCGAGAGATCACTCCATCCAGTCACCATATCATCGTTGCATTCCACGAATTGATGATCCTCATACGTTTGAGGCTCCTCGAAGCGATGCAGGCTCGCTTGAAGAACATGCGCAAAGAGAAGATCCGAAAGATGTTGTATGTCGCCACATACTTGGTCCGCGACTGTCCCGACAAGAAGAAGATCCGACTGGGTATCTCACGCGAGAAAATCCGTCGGAGTTCGATGATTGATGACATGGATTTGGCCTTTAGACCCAGGTGCTATGTGACCGTTCATGCCAGGCGGGCTTTCTTCGCAATTGCGGATGCCCTCGGAGAAGCCCGCATCCCCAACTACCTGCTCGACAACCGATCGGGATGTCATGGAGACTGTGAAGATTTTGGGAAAATCGAGGGAATGTAATTGTTTTGCTGGAAAGGAGGACAGCGATATCAGAATTTTCTAAACAGTCAAGAAGCTCGCAGCAAACAACAGAGTCCCGGGTTTTCACTGTCATTGCACTGTTAGCATTTTTCTCTATTGTCCAGATTTTGAGGGTGTGGTGATTCGGAACCTGTATGGAATGATGCTTTCTCAAATGATATGATTCAAGCAAAGCTCTTTTGAAAGACGATCAACTACTCCGTCAGAGGGATCGTACATCCTTCAGAAATAGATGGGGCGTTTGCTGATATGTACGAGGGAAGGTGCACCTCCGAGATTGTACTTGGAAACAAAGTAGGCTAGGCTAGGCTGGGCTCAAAATGACTTATCAGATAAAATTGGCTATCGTTTTGCCTCTATTGGCAACCTGGGCGTCATACAAAGCGATCTATGGTCACCCGGCTTGACCGGCAATTAGAGAGTAACAAAGCGGAGCGACCTTTTCCTTTCCTGTACCTTCTCTCTGAGTCTCCAGGACATGTTGCGGGAGCCAACAATCCGTTATGCTCTTTTAAATCTAACCCGATGTCTTGACACTCAAACCTCTCCCTAAACTGGCAGTACTGAGTCCGAAAAATTCGAAGGTCCCGGATCATCGAGGCCGTCCGAAGAGCTAAAAGCGATGCTCTAATTATGACTGGGCATACTTCCCTCGATGAGTTTCTCGCCAAGAACACCACCATGTACACAAGCTAGTACGTACGTAGAGTCCAGACTCCCGGCTGTCGAACCAGCAACAGAGCCTTGCGAGCATTCTGGGAGTGTTCAGTCTACAGGCACGTTTCAAAGCTCCGGCCAAGACGGTCCGGCAATGCAGACGCCGACATTTCGTCTAGCCGGGATGTCCTGCAAGATCTGGTAAGACATCAAGGATGTCAAGGTAGTGCCGTAGACACCAGCTTTGCACGCATGCCAATGGTCACCAGACTCGAGTCGCTAAAACGAAATGTTGCCATCCAGTGAGACCGTGCGTAAACCCAATTTCTCCCGCCACGTCCCTCTATCCGAGGAACGAGACATCTTTCGAAAAGAACAAGACTCCTCTCAACACCCCGAATCCTGGCCATGGAGTGACGACACTGACCTTGGCATCTCCTAGACCACTAACATGGGCGTACAACAAGATCGGACAAGCACTGGAAGAGCACGAATGGGTGCAGGTGATCCTCAGGACGGATCATCCTTGAACGTCGATCGATCCGTGGCCCCAAAGTTCCGGCTAAATCCGACTTGACGTCCTCTTCACATGTACGCTCATGCCAATGATTGTAATGACGCATCAAGAACCGCTGACCCTCTCCACCCCCCTCTCTCCACCTCATGAACAGAAGCAAACTGACAACCTGACACTCAGACACCGCTGTACCTACTCCACCATAAGACAAAAACCCTCCCACTTCTACCCCTAGAAACGATACCTACTCACAAACCCTCGCATCCATCTCCCTTCACATCCACAACCTCCCCCACCGAAAAGTAAAAATACAGCCTCGATTGCCTCCGTCCCTCAGACATGCCAAGATCGCCAAGCCCCTTCGGGTTAGCGGCCCTCAGTCAGGCCCCTTCGGCTTAGTTCTCTGACTTCGGGTGGCAACCTAGAGGTTCGGTAGTAAGGTAAGCAAAGAAGCTAACTCAAAGAGGCTTACAGTAGCCAACGAAGAATGAGCTCACCACCACCCACTCCCCAACCCTCCCGCAAAGCCCTTTCAAAAACCCACTCAAACCCTACTTTACCCTACCCTACCCTACCCTACCCTCCCCTACCCAACCCCTCCCCGCTCGCGACAATACCTGCCCCACGGACACTACCCACACTACCCATCACACCTCCGCACAGACCCTTTGCAGTCGTCGCAAAGCCACTCAGCGCACACGCCCCGATCGTGAATGGATGGCACACGTTAGCCGCACGGTTCGCGCTTTGACTCAATATCTGCGTAGGTACGTACGTGCGTGCGCCTTTGGGGAAACATTGGGGCTTTTGTCGGGAAGGAGGGGTTGTTTTAGATTACGTACGTATCTAGCACCACCACCACCACCATCACACCGCAGCTTGGGCTGGACTGGACTGGACTGGACTGGACTGGACTGGACTGGACTGGACTGGGCTGAAGACGATAAAGATTTTCGATTCGGAATGGGGTGATATGGAAATTAAGCAGGGTGTAGAGATGTGTTGATATTTCCTTCTCTACCTGAACATGCTCAAATGGCTCGTTTCCTGTTTCCATACCTTAAGACGGGTGAGGGGACTTTTAGTGTGAAACGAAGATCTAGATTCTGGATGCGACGGCTCGGCACGGGTGACTGATTGCTATGTATCCAATTCCCCCCTGCCAAGCCGATTTCATCCAGCCCATGGGGCGACGGCTGCTACAAAGGTACGTGAGAAGCGACGGCGGCGAAGTGGAAAAAGGTTAGCATGGACTTGGACGCAAATCTGAGCTGGATGTATACGGCCACTGCATAAGGTCATTTGATGAAACTGACAACGTAGTATATGTATACGGCCACCGCATAAGTCATTTGATGAAAATGAGAACGTAGTATATGTTTGGCTTAGGCCATGTCATCGAGATGGCTCGCTCTATATGAGGGTTTATATATGAAATATAGACGGTGAAACGAATGTGTTGAAGTGAAAATCCTGTCGACTCCGCATCGAAGCTCGCGGCGCGGTGAATCATCAGCAGGAACCGCTCCCTCCGAGGAGACTATGGAGGGTGAAGTTAGGACGGTGCTCTGACGAGAGGGAATTGTGAAGGCGGACTTACGCAGAGCCCGAACTGGTCATGGCATCCCCGTTCAGCAGGGTACCCAGATGCTCATTGTAGGCGTAGTGTGTGATCATGGAGTTCGAGGCGTTCTTCATGAAGGTGCCTTCGAGCCATTGAATGAATTGACACTGGAAGTCACGAATGTCAGCATCATTGGACCGAACCATAGATGTCAGGGGCTCTGGTGGGTGCAAGGGGCAAAACTGACATCTTCGGTAGCTGTGGAGGTATCATAACCGCTTCCCATCTCGGTGATCCACACTTCTGGAATACCGTTGTCTTCCGCCAGCTGGATCATAGCCCCAGCCTGCTCATTCAACATCGCGCCGTTCTCATCTACTGTCAGGGAGCTGCTGCCGTACCAGTGCATGCTTATAGCTTGGAACGTGTATTTTGGGCTGTTGGATGCCGCCAACGAGAGGAACTGGGACATCCACTCCTGCCCTGCGGGATTGGCGACGCCGTCAATCGTGCCTAGTGACACAACAGAATTGGAGACACCCGGTGTGGAAATCTTGGCATCCTTAGAGGACTGATATTGGGCGATGTAGTTCTGAGGGCGAGGTGTTAGCTCGAGGAACCTTTCTCCAAAGTTGGTGCGTCTGAGACTCACCCAACCGGAAATTGCTGTGCTGGGCGTCATCCAAGACTGTCCGGGCCTGGGTAGATATTAGGTGGAAAGCTTCACTGCTTTATACGACTGCTAGCTTACATGTCCGGCTCATTGAACCCGATCAGATTTATGCCAGAAGGCCATGAGGGTGCAGCATTGGTCCATGGGTTGAGATCTGTCCGGGAAATGCTCAATTAGCACTTGCACTTGCACTGATACTGGTCGAGATTTGATGGTATGGCGACTCACGGTTGCTATCCTGGAAGGTCCATAGTTGAGGGTAGAATGTGCCTAGATCGAGATTGTCGGAAGAGCTGAGCGGGATGGGCGACCAATCCACCGAGAAACCGACTTGGCCACTGAAGGCTGACAAATCGCTGGTACTATCGTAAAGGATACCGATGTTGGGGCTGCTTGAGTCGCTGGTAGTACCCGAGGATTGGGGTGTACTTGGGGTTGGAGAGGTACTGGTAGTAGTGGTAGTCGTCGAGGATGTGGGGGAAGCAGCGACTCCTCGGCTGTGGCGGTGATGCCATTGAGGATTCGCATGGGGCTTGGCCTGAACAAGAGTGCAAAGAACAGAGAAGAAAGAAAATAGAGATTGCGTTGTGGACCACATGATTGATGAATGAATGAAGGGTATCCGAAGATGCAAGGATCTGTAAAGAGGGTATGAAGGCTATTGGATCAACCAAATGGGAACTGGATCAACAGTGCTGCAGCGAGAGAAGGAAGAAGAAGGAGAGGAAAGCCAAGGGGGGGGGATGGAGACTTTATGGGAGGCAGCATGATGAGCTGAGTCCTGCAGCATTTGGAAGGATTGTGACATTTAGGGGAGAGGAATGGTGTGACAGGGGAGAGAAGGAGTAGAGTGCAGGGTATGTCAATAATAAGAATGTGTGTGTGTGTGTAATCAATCCTCTACAACTCTAAGATGGAGCTTATCTTGGTGAAACAATAAAGTAGTTTTAGTGGAAAACAACGCTGGGATAGCGGGGCTGCTCGGTGCAGGAACCCGGGACCGGGAACCATCGTTGACCTTATCGACTACCTACTTTATTTTACCTTGGCTACCTTACCTAGGTAGTCCATAAGGCAGAGGGGCATGCCTCATTGCATTCTTTTCCTTTTCCTCAACAAGCTTTGATTACATCCTCCTTCCTCATCAAGTAATCCCGAACAATCCCAGCGCTTTGTTTTATGCAAATGCAATCACACGTGGTCAAAACAAAACACAGCGAAAAGGGATGGGATCAATAATGTCATGATCTTGTGATTCGTGCGATTTGGAGATTGCAGGATTCCTTCTGGACCACACCACTTTCGCTAGAGGCAAGTGGCCTGAACTCTCCGACGGGCGCTAGCCGGCCCGCTCAACGCGTCGCCAAGACTTTCCCACCTAATCCCAACACTCTTATTCGACATTTGACAAGACTTTATCTGTGCCTTGATTATCGCATGAAATCGAACTTCTCTTTTCCCTCTATCAGTACTTGGGACAAACAATCTTCAATGTCTATGGGTTTCCACTAAGGTGCCTTGCTAAGGGTTAGTAACCCTTGAAGCACTCTGGTGGGTGACTTCCGTTGCCGGCTCCCGTGAGTAATGACTTCCGCCAAGCTTTGGGTTTTCCTAAGCAGTCGGGTCGTGTCCTAGAGGGGAGTGGCTGTGGAACTCAGGCTGCAGACAAACGACCCGAGGTTGGTGAAACGGTTCGCTGTCCCAAGCGTGGAATGATTGGTTGGGCATAGGCATACGGCTTCTGAGGAAGATCCTGCAGGCACGCGCTTCCTTGTCCCTAGTTGCATATGTACGACCAGCAAACATAAAACAACGACGCATTGCATACACACAGTTGCAAATCATTTGATACAAAGAAAATCCTGCGGAGCTTCGGTCAAAGATAGTGCACCAAGTGTGGAGCGGGATCGCTTTATTACCGTCTATTTTCTAGATGAGCAAGGAGGTGCCTCCTTCCGTGAGACTCCTCGTACACCCGTTGCTTCTCTTTAGGCATATCTTTTCGAGCCCGAAACCACCCCCACGACAGTCTTAGACTTTGAGTGGGTGACCTACAATCAGTACCTTTGATTGCTTCCAAGGCGCCAATTGGGCACTGGTCGTATCGTATAATTAAGTTTGTTGAGCGAGGATCACGGTTTGGAGGGTCAGGATCCGGAAAATACCTAGTTACTCCAGATGCTGGAGTTTGGGGGGGGGAAGTAATGTATGCGGGGCCGTCCCCTACATATCAAGGAGGAATTGACATAAGGTTGCCATGTATGGAGCGGCTAGAGGAACTTTCAAGGTGATAGTGAAGGCCATAAGTAGTCTTGCTTCCTCGGGCTGGCTGCAAGACAGGTAGCTTGACATTGTGGGTCAAGCGTAAATATTCTAACAGATAACAGAAGCTCTCAAACTCAATTGGACCGTCGATCTGTAAGTAGAGATTGATGGCCTTCTATAACGTTTTTTCCTTGTTCAGGCGAGCCAGAAACGCATTGAAGTATGGCTTGCGTGGCCCATGATTACCTCCATCAGAGCAAGCCCGGCGCCGATACATCCGCGATCTACGCTCGTCACCACGACGTGGTGAAGCGCTAAGCCACCTTGAGGTTTTTCACCCCGTTTCCTTTGAACCCTGGGTAAACAAATGCCCGGAAATATAATAGTTTCGAAGTCGCTTAATAAACGCTTGTGCTTGCTGTTGATGAGAGCAATGATACGTACATCCCACACTCCCCCATTGTTCGAAACGATACTTGCATTGAGAACGGTTGGTTTAGGTACTACCTTTCGCCTCTTACGTGTGTTAATGGGTAGACTGGAGACTTGTATATGGATATTGTCGCCAGTGTTTACACGCTTAGCACTAGCTAGGGTATGCCTGGCTTTCCGGCTCTGGCTCTAAACAATGAGATTGGTACACACTCACGATCGTTGTTGACACGCATTTCATGTTGATTATATAAAGGGCCATCTGTCGCTTCTTCCTCCCTTTTATCTAACAGCCACACTGGGTCTCCCTCAGTCATTAGATGGCCTCCGCTTCAACCACTCTGTGGCGGAGGGTCACGAGCATCTATCGCGCCGCCAACTGACTCCACTTAACAGATTGCTTGTCTCCGTGCCTACCACCGTGCCCTGGCTCTGGTGACCTTACGACAAGTAAAGTTCCCTTTCAAATCCCTCGCACGCTTGGATGTGCTCGAATACTTGACAGATGAGGAAAGCCGCTATGCTGCTGACCCCGACGCGGAAGCGGCAAGGTAGGAACGAGCTTGGCATCAACTTCCAAAACGGATTTAACAACGGCTTCAAATCTCCTTGTTCGCGCCAGTCACATTTTCAGTCGGCGAGACGCCTCTAGCTATGGTCAACTGGGAAGTGATATTGCTGAGTCTGCGCTGCATCGAGGAAAGCTTGTTGCGAAACCCATTTTGCAGCAGCCTCCATTCCGGGGAGCCAAAGCCATTCTATCATTTCACTTTCTTCGCTGGGTACCAGAAAGAGGCGAATTCGGCAAGGGTCCAAAGCTGGGAGAGCTGGTACGTGATATTCATAATCATCGTGACATCCTCGGCAATGTTATGGACTTTGCCGACGGCCTGTTGAATACTGCAGAAACGTCGCTAGTTTCTTGAATTCCCGCCACGCTTGACTTCAGGTTGCTGTATGCGGGAGACGATTCCATAGAATTGCTGTAGTTATCTTGCGGGGAATGGAACTTGTGCTTGCGGGAAAGGGATGAAGTAGTTCAGTCCTTATGTAACCAACACATGAAAGCTTCCGTATGCGACGTGAAGAAAGCAGTTTTGAGCTTAATTTAAAGAAATAGACGATGTTACAGTGAATGCGTGTTTTGCCAAGAGGTTTTCTAAGAATCCTCGCCCTCACCCTTAACTCCACATCTTTCCAACCTCACTGCAGTGTCTCTCAGATTTCCTAGACCTAGTCAATCGCACGACTCCATTCGCGATCTCATCATCGAGACTCCACCGTTCGTTGTTATCCTTCCACCAAGTATGTGCTCATAGACCGCACATTCGATACTTCAGTTTGTGCTCACAGCCACCCATCCTTCGACCCTTGACTAACAAACCGATAGAACCTTAGACATGCCCTCCAAAATCCTGACAGACCTGGCGCCAGAGCTCCTCATTCAAATCCTCAAATCGTCAGACAATTTCGCAGATGTCACCTCACTCAGTAGCAGCTCTCGCAAGATGTTCATCGTATGGAAGATGAACATCGACACAATCTGCGAGGCCATTCTTCCACGTACTATCGACTGCTTCGAACAAGCATGCGGACTGCTAGCTGCCCAGGAGAGAGCCGAAGGCGAAGAGCACTCAGTCTTTGGCTATCAATCCGCAGTCGACCGCACGAGATGGGTTCTCCAGGACGCCGATTTGGCTGCTAGGGCTCTTGTTCACTTTGAGAAGCATGCATTTTACTACTGTTCCTTAGCGGCAGACCGATCGTTTGGACGAGACACGTTATCCGCCACGGAACGGACAGAGTTCCTACGGGCTCACTACCGCGCTTCAACGTTAGCAACACTTTCAAAAGAGCCATTACCGAGTGGGTTGCTGTCTACTTGGAACCTTCTTGACCTTGAACAAGTGAAAGACGTGGTCGAGTGGATCGTCATCTACGGCGATCAAGATGAAAAGCTCGATCTAGGTCTAGGCTACTGTGACCATGGTCTTGGTCGGCAGGCCACTGGCGGCAGGCCATCATTGAACGACTGGAAAAAGGTCCAAGGCTCTCTAGCCTACCTCAAAATGGACTTGTACGGATTACAACTCAAGACAAACATGGAGCGTCACTTCCGTTTTCTATTCAATTCCTTCTTGATCTATGATGACTGCCGGCCGGACTTCAAGTACAGCAGAGGCGAGTGGTTGCAAGATCTTCTACCACTGGTGCAACAACAAGGGATTCATTGCAACATCAGGTACAAGCTCTCAGAGGCATGAGCCAGGCTCGTCGTCGAAGGTGAGATCCCCAAACATATATAATACGATCAGGCTGACATCCCTAAGATGAGGCTCACCAAGACCCGAGAAGCGGTCCAAGTGTCTAAAGAGAGATTCAGTGGCAGAGGAAACAGACGGGATCAAGAAGGAGGACTGAAGGTTCTGCTCCATGCGTCCATAGAAGCCAGGGAAGTTCGGCTCAGATCCACTTGCAGTCAATAAGATCAATGGCAGGGTAGAAAGCACCCCTTCAATCTGGCATCGACCTTGTAAACCTTATAAGCACGTAGTGGATAATCAGAGCGAGTTCAACACATCCAGCATGTCTCGCTTCCGAGCGTCAAACATAGCACTTCACTAAAACTGAGATCAACGATCTTATTGCCTCCTAGGTTGATCTCAACCATCATAATGTTGTACAACCTGCGGTCGGGAGACACAATTTCTCGCCGAGGCTTCAATCAACAATCAGAGTCGATAATCCGAGTCGAAAGGTCGATCTGAGACTGGAATATGTGCGAGTCAGTCACAGTCCAAGAAATCAAAAACCCATCGTTAGCCACTTCAAGCCTATTATCTCATTTCAGGATTAGACATAAATAAAGAATAGGCGGTGGTAATCGATAAGCATGTTAGGGAGAAATGTGATGGAAACAATGTTTTTGCTGTTTGGTTTTAGTCCAAAGTTGGTTTTAATCCTTGATGCAAAGTATAAAACTATCGTAGGCGCTCGACGTTAGCAATTAAATCGGGTGAGAAAGTTCTGTCTAGTCGTCGGAGCATGGCAGAGTAGTATTCAATGGGGCGGGTAGAAATTTGAGCTGATCTAGTATCTAATGGAAAGATCGAGTCGACCAGAATATCAAGACCAGATGTGCATTTGAGACGAGTGTTCTACCTTCCTCATGACCATGGGCCGTGAGTTCAATTGAGTGAATGTGCCCACAATTTAATAAACGACATCTCCACCTTCCTAGTTAGCATTTCTTACAAAGCTCTCCCTCAACCCAGTAATCTGTCAGCCCTCACCCTCTCTATTCTTCCCCCTTCTACAACACCGTGTGGCCCAATTAGACACAGCGTGGCTTGGCACTGCCCACAACTAATGACTTCACGCATATTGGGATTGCGGTTCACATATGCTTCAGACCATGGTCCACTCCTGAACACCTAGCTTGCGAGCCTCATCAATGAGTCGCATACAGCACGCCCGACATACTCCAACGATGAAGATGCAAAATTGACCTCGAACTTCCTCAAAAATCCCACCTCGCGACCAAACTAGCTCCACTGTCAACATTACACGACCTTGATAGTATTGCTTCATTCAGCACAAGTTCATTAACCGAATAACAATTTACGAGTGCGTCAGAGACTCTGTTTGCCCAACGGCCAACAGTTTACCAACCAGTCACCAGGTGAGACGACGGGTCTCGAAATTATCGACCATGTCTCAAGCCTCCTCACCGGGCCTGGCCCCCAAGCTCAAGGTCCAGATCTTCAAGTCAATAAACAAATTCTCATCGGTCACAGTCCTCAGCAGTATCTTTTATACACTCCACAATATCTGGAAGTCCAACACCGAATCCATCTGTAATGCAGTCCTTCAGCGGATCGTCAAATGCCCGGGCGAAGCAAAAGTGCTGTTCGATGTTCAGAACTCCAACCAGCAGGCAGTGGACGGTCAGAACCTCAGGGGTATTTAGGAGGACCACAACCCTTATCATCAAGCAATTGAACGCTCGCAGTGGTGTTACGTCAACGCGGACACAGCGTCATTGGCTCTCGCATATTTCGACCTCTCAGTGTTCACTTTCTCAACGCTCGGCCGACATTCATCGCCAACAGAAGACACGAATTTCATCCAAGTTGCCGTGTGAGGGACTTTCAGAGCTTTGATTGCGTCTTCGGATATGCTAGACTTCCAGCGAGTCAGGGAAGTTCTCTGCTTCCTAACCTCTTCATCTCCTAAGGCACTGGAACAACACCTGGGCCTCGTTTCCGTTGATGGGAGTGGGCCTGTGGGCGAGTGCATTACCGCCGTAAACTTCAACATCGCCATACGTAGGCTACGACACCTGGACCAAGATTTCCTTGCGGTTGCACCCAACGTTTCACCTGTCCAAGCCTCCAAACATGCCGATCGGTTATTTCATTGCTTACGGGCAACTTGCAAGGACCAATGCTCCCAGTAGTCCGCCCCCAAATTCTGGACTATTAGTCGGACTGGTCTATGGACTAGTCCACAGTGGACTGGTTTAAAGTTGAACGGATTATATATAGACCAGTCTAATATCTAGACGAACTGATCCGACTATTAGTCTAGATATGAATTTATATAAATGAATTTAATAGTATATATCTAAGTATAATAGAAGTATTTTTAATAGTAATAAAGCTAACTAATAAAGATTTAAGTATAATAGATATATTTTTAATAGTAACGAAGAACAAATTTTTCTTTAAGATAGTATTTATATATTTATTTAATAATTATATTACTATAGTATCTAATAACGACTTATTCGATATATCTATAACTCTTATTACTCTTATAACTCTATTTAATATTATTATAAAATCTAAGATCTCGAATAAATTTACTAAGTATATATGAAATATAATAACTCGAAGACTAGTAATTTCGAAGCTTTTATTATAATCTTCTTAAAACTAGTCTATTATTTCTATTCTATAAGCCTCGAATAATTATACCCCTCTTATTAAGGTATTTATTCGAATTTTAGAAAAGGAAAATCGAGAAATTATCGTCTAAAGACTCTAATTCGAAAGTCTCGTAATAAACGCTAGCTCTATAATCTAGCGTTTCTTAAGTATTAGAAATATTCTTTAAGAGATTAAGAGCTAAAATCTTTACTATTTATAACTATATTACTTAGCGAGATAATATCTTAGTCTATAATTATTATTTAAAGATCTATAAGCTTAATAGTAGTATAAGAGCTATTACTCGATATTTAAAAGATAAATACTTTATTAACTCTACGACTATCGATATAGCTAAAAAGAGAATATAAGAGAATATAATAATAGATATAGTAATACTTCGTAGGGTTGAAGTTAATATTAAGGCTAAGATAAAGAGACGAAAGAAATTTATAAGTATAAGTCTTAATAAAATTACTTTGAAGTATCTATATCTATAATAAACTATTCTTTAAAATATATCCTTTAATCACGTTAGGGATAGAGGCTTTCGAACCTTCTTGAAATACGTTAATTTTATTACTAATTAAATACTTTCTAACTTCGATATTATAATAAAAATCTATATTAAAGATCTATTTATTAAGAGAAGATAACGGCTACGCTATATACTAGCTATAGCTCTATTAAATATCTATATTATATACGATATATAAACGTTATTAAATTATCTAAGACTATTAATAGTAGTCGTATATTTTATTAGTAAAAAAATTAAACTATACTTCGTAACTCTCGTCTTTTATAAGTTATAAGAAAAGTATTTAGACTTAAATTAGACGATAATTATTTTAAATATACTCGATAACTATAAGATTCGTAATAAGTTAGACTATCTAATTATAAATAATATTAATAGTAATAATACTCTAATTAAAGCTATTACTAATACTTTATATAAAAAAGAGATCTTTTATAATACTTAATAACGACGTCTTCGATATAATAATTATATTATTAATCTAACTATTTAAGTATTTCTCTTTAAAAAGATCGTTAATAATTATTAATATTCGGAGAATATAGCTATCTCTTCTTTTAATATTTAGTTAAATTAGTAACGTAAGCTAAAATCTCTCGATAAGCTATATATTATTATTATCTAAATTATAGAAAGCTCTTAACGTATTTAGTTCTTTAAAAAACGAAGTAATAAACTTATATTATATCGGAATAATAGTACTAGATAAAATTCTTAATACGATATACTTAATTAAGCTATTTAAAGGCTTAAACTAGTTATTATAGTCGTTATTAATAAGAAACTCGATTTATTAAAGAACGTACTTACTATTAACGAGTGAATTATTCTTAATTATATTCGTAATTTCTTATAGATCTTTTATAATACTATTAAGATAATCGAAGGCTATAAAGCTATCTTAAAATAAATTCTTCTTATTATAGATTTTCTAGCTAAGCGTTTTAAGAAGATTATAGAAGAATTTAAGAATTATACTTTTATGTGAAAGTCTCTTTATATCGAGTTTATTAAGCTATTGTCACGGTACGCCAAGGCCTCCTCCAGAGCCACCACCCATTTGGGCCTAGCGTGGCTTGGCACCGCACATATCTGCCCTGCGGGCACATAGAATAATCAACATCTTTACACCACACATCAAATTATGACATAGTCACATTGGCTCCTGACAACATGGTAGCAACACCTGAAGATCATTCAACAGGCGTCTATTAAGTTTATTTCGCTCCCACACCAGTTGCCTACTCCTCCCCTAGGACCCCACCTACCTCAACACCAAGTACGCTCCTACATCAGTACTCACAGTCCCACGAGTCCCTACACGATTTACAGGTCGATCCTTTCACTAGGCCACTCGATATCACCATGGCATCCAGCAGCCTTATTCCCGGCTTCTCAGCAGAGCAAGTCCGCTCCATTACCAAGCTCATAGAAGACGTGCTCGACAAGGCACTCGACAAGCACTTTGGCCCACTGCCACCACAGCAAAAGCAGTCAGTCATAGCGCCAAAGCCGGCACAGCCACCAAAGCAGGAACAAGAGCATAGGCCATTACAACAGGCATATATGGAGAAAATTGCGGAGAAAAGTATGGAGAAGAACAAGAGCATAGACAGCAGCAGTGCTATTCAAACGGGCGCACTCTCCATAATTCCACACCAGGCAACTATGCATAATTGCGGAGAACCTTCCCCTCGCCTCAGCAGTACTCCACTTTCTACCTCGCTTCTCGCCTCTCTTCTCGCCTCTCAACTCGCCTCTCTTCTCACTTTCGCCTCTCCGCTCGGCTACA